TGCTACGTATACCGTAAAATCAATCCACAAGATAGATAACTATTGAACATTTGCAAAAGTTACACTTTCTCGACATTAGATATCATTTTGTCTTATAAGAACATTGGCAAGAACATTTGGCACAGTATGACAGACTTGACGTTTTAACAACTACTGATTTGTAATTTCAGTCTCTGCAACATAAACGTCTAAAAGCAACAACCAATGTTTGCGCATCTCAGATAGAAAAAAAGAAATAGCGGAGAATGATTATCCTCTCATTTTTAGTAATCTTGATTGAAAGAATGACGAGAATTAGAATCAATGTTTCCAGCAGTGCAACATATCCATGAAAATAGCGGCTCAGCAGATCTCAGCCGAGAATATGGAATTAACAACAGCACCTATTATAATGGGTACTTTCGCACATCGTGCGTCTCTCAGTTCCTGGATATCTGGTATCTCTTAGTGCAGTGAACAGAAGAACAACATTTCTGGACTTTAAACAGTACCTTTCAAATAAAAAAAAGACAACAAAGTTCTCTCTATAAATTGTATTAATATTGTGAGACCATTGCATTGATTGCCAACATTTAGTTTGAGTACAAGATTACATAGAACATTGAAGTGGAAGCAAAATCTTAGTTTAATGAAAATTAATATTTAATAGAAAACACAGTCAAACATAGATGAAATCTTGGTTGACGACAAAGAAGTGTATTAGTAGCTTTTATCTTTTAAAAGGCAAACGATAATACTATATGTAGAGGAAGGACCACAGTTAGATATCATTTAATTTCTTTAAGTTAAATTTAAGTAGACAACAGTTTGAAATTCAATTACACTAGCTGATATATAGATCTACGTCAAATGATATGTTTGAAATTTGCGTATGAGTGAAGAGAAGCTGCAAAGGCAAAGCCGTACTCTATAGTCGTCGTTGCCTTTCAGTTTTTTTTCTAGATAGTGCAACGACGTGAAATTTGGTTGATTTTATGTCGACACTCAACGATAAACTCGACCTGGTTTTAATTAAAAATAGGCTTGCTAACAGTAAACACAAGAGCAAAACAAAATCTAACAACGTCATTTATTCCATTGTTATTCTTTCCAACTTTCATTTACTTTTCATTTGTACAATGACTTAAGTGCCATTACGTTCGATACCTTGTTTCATACATTGTTTATTTTTCTTTGATTCTTTCAAAGCGAAATTTTTCTCTTTCTGACAGGAACGAAAAAAAGCAACACAGACATTGTTAATCCAATTGTTTTCCTGCTGTCTGTGATTGACATACTAATAATGTGAACGAAATAACCAGAAGAAGTAGATTGAATTTTCATTGAAGCAACGACGGAACAACGGTTTCTTCTTGCCCAATATATTGCTATTAGTTAATAAATGACTCAAGCAAAAGAAGCTGCTCATGTTGTACTCCATCACTAAAGATATGTATCATACATTATAGTTGCTGAATCAATTTTTCATTCACTCGTTTTTCTCTCATCGTGATTGTGGATGAAAAAATATCAAAAATGTTCAGTCTAAGCATGCACAAATACAACAGTTGATATCACCTTCGAAACAATTAATGTTGTTTTCAATGAATGAGAGAACATATGTATTGATATTTTTTTATCTGTAATAATATGTGTATATGAATATATAGTGATTAGATCAAATTGAAAGGATACATATTGGAATCATATAAAGAAGTTTCTTCAAAATAATTACAAAAAAGGTAAGTTCTTACAAACATGCGATTGTGCTTGTTAGTGAGGATTCTGTTCTCATGTATCCACACTCACATCTATATACAATATTCTTCGTACATAGAATATTTGAAATTCTTGATGCTTATTTCTTTTTTATCTTTTTTTTCGATTTATTTGGTTCTTCCAAAAAATATCTTCGAATATAATTTGGTCATATTGAGACTTCATTTAATTTTAATTTCTCTACACAAACTGATCTCAAATCATTGATACTATCAACATCTATTCCATATTATACATTGAAAACTGGAAATATTATTGGCGTAAAATATGATTAAACAACTCATCTAATAGCGAATTCTGTTTTGCATGCATGCGAAAGAGAGTCATCTATGTTTGTATACAATTGACTAATAATGAAAAGTATCGCTGGTATTTTTTTTTAACAAAAATTAGTAGAGATATTGAAGACATGACTGCTGTTTTTCTTAATTCAAAAATAACAAAAACAAAATACCATTATTTTAGTGTATGATCGCATATCTTTGCACAAACACAAAGATTTGTTCCTCGAATAATAAAAATTGGCCATAATGTTGATTGCATAATTCTGTTGAGTTTCTTTTGAAAATGCAACTATGACAAGCAAGAAAGATCAACAAAAAAAAAGTGCATTATCAACGAACGAACCAACAAAACAAAATACATTGAAAAGAATTTTTATTATTGTTGCCATCGATTTTTTCTTTTTGTGTTCGTGTCTGCACATTTAGTAACAATGTGAAGATAGAATATGTAAATAAACAACTGCCAAAGAAAAATAAGATTTCATTTTTCTTTCTTCGTTTCTTCCTTTCGATATGATTGCATCTCATCAAGAGCTTTTTATCACTGGCTGTCTTTGTACATCTATCGAGTTGATGTGTTTAAATCAATAAAAATGCATTAAAACCAATCCAACATAGTTCATTGCATTACATTCGTTTCATTTCTCTCTATGAGTATTGATTCACAAGCATCGACTATCGTGAAAATTTATAGACTAAGTAAAGGGTGTTTTATAAGTTTCGGCCCCATTTTTATTTTTATTTTTATTCTTGCTATATTTTAAGGTTAAGAGGCAGGATCTATATATTTTTGAAGAGTAGTGTCTAAGCTATCATCCAATATAATTTGAGTCGAATTTGCATGAAATCAGAAAAAGTACTGAATTGATACAAATATTGAAAAAAACTTGATCAAAATCAGATTTTCGAATATTACAGAATTTCGTTTGCTTGTCTTTAGTAGGTCATATCTTTATCACGACAAAAGCAAATAGTCCGAAATTTTCAGTGTAAGTAGAGCTCATTTGGATCTACTATCCATGAAAATCTCATTAATTTTAATCTTACTAAAATAAAGTTATTCTCGACATATTGACCATTAACAATTTCAGGTTTTTCAGATTCTCTAGTGCTCACCATGGAGATTCCAAAATTTTCACTATTTTGAGGATAACTCTGTTTTAGCAGAAAAAAGATTGATGAAATTTTTATAGATAGTAGATCCAAATGGGCTCTACTTACACTGAAAATTTAGGACTATTTGCTTTTGTCGTGATAAAGATATGACCTACTAAAGACAAGCAAACGAAATTCTGTATTATTCGAAAATCTGATTTTGATCAAGTTTTTTTTCAATATCTTTATCAATTCAGTACTTTTTCTGATTTCATGCAAATTCGACTCAAATTATATTGGATGATAGCTTAGACACTACTCTTCAAAAATATATAGACCCTGCCTCTTTACCTTAAAATATAACAAGCATAAAACCAAAATAAAAATAGGGTCGAAACTTATGAAACACCCTTTAGATGGCACATATTCTAATACACTAATATTAGAAGAAGAGATCTGTTTATAATAAACGAACGAATTTACTAGTAACATATTTAGAAAATGCAAAAATATTCCTGTCCAGTTTCCCTTTGATTTTCGATCAATAGCATAGCATTCTATTGTCTGAACAGGCAAATTGACTCCTCCAATACAGATGTTGTATTGAATTATAGTCAATAGACAAGGAATTTGCTTCCTACTTCCGTCTTTACTGTCAGATTATGTAGTGAAATCTTTTTTCGGACCACAGAAACTTGACATAGTACACTTTTTAAATATCATCCATATATCCTATCATCCGTGCAAGTTTGTACGGGCCTCTGCCGACTTCTAATATTTATTGAAAATACTTCTCCAAGTTTCTCAAAAACTCGAAGACTATAAAATTCTCAAGGTGGTACACATGTATACCAGCAAAACTCAAAGGATTGATCTCGCGTTCTGAAAATATTGAAGGTGTGGGCGAGTGCGGATGTGGGTCTTCTCTTCATTTTAACCCACAGCCACAGTCACACCCACACCCTCATTTTGAATTGAATTTATGCTCTCACTGACAATAATATGAAGAAATTCCAAGTCTACAGAATTGAAAAAAATGCACAATCAATCGATCACATTCAATCAACTCTTAATTTCTGTATGAAAATAAAGAACTATGACATGATTTTTGTCGAGTCAATGGAAAACAGACATATACTTACGAAGAAATCATCCGAGGTGATACCTCGCGTTTGAAATGAGATCTCAATCATTACGTAGGGTCTATTGAGACTAGAATAAACCTGGAAGGATTCTTTCCAATACACTGATCTTTTGAAGGTGTGGTCATTGTAATGAATTTTTCATCTTTGGCATGGTATTTATAAAAAAACAATCGGACAAATGAATTTTGATCTAAAACTTTGTTTGTCCGTTCTTTTTTAAATAAATACCGTGCCAAAAGTTAAAAAAACCAGTGTAACGGTCATAACTCCAAAAGGGCATTGATGTATTATCATATCGATGTAAGTTTCGTTTAAAATGCGAGACGAATGAATAAGTTTTAAATTGTTCTTACCGATCATCGATGTAACGAAAATTTCGAACGATGGCAGCAACATTCGATCTAATTACTTTTGCTGTTGAAACTTGTTGTCATTATCGCGGAAAAAAAACGAAACTTTGCAACAACTACTCTTCGATCTTTAGACTATCGTGTCACAAAATAACGATTCTGGTGGAATATCTATGAAGTAAAAAAGAAAATCGAGAACGATAACTATATAGTGCTTCGTACCGTAATAAAAATTCTTCGATTGACTTGCACGTTCGTAGAAAGATTTCTATAATTCCATTTTAGAATTGGCGCTCATTCAAGCTGCTAAGATATTTTTTTTTCTTTTTCACGCCATTGTTGTATCGTTCTTTTGTTTTTCTCTACCAATGAAAAAATTTTCTTCAATTCAACGATATCAGACTGAAAAAGCAATTATTGATGCTCTTTTAAAAATATCTGAGATCATTAAAAAAACAACTAATATAAATCAATTTTCAAAGAAAACAACAGGTGATGGTGATAAAAAACAACAAAGATATAAATATGATTATGCAGAGATACATGATGGACCAATACCACCTCCTATGCGTACGTTCGAGTCCTATATCTCAGGTTTCAATCAACGATATGCAATACCTTCATTACAGCGATCATCGAATTTTAATCGAGCACCAATTCTACTGTGGAATTCACGATCACACGGTAGATATTATATTGCTAATAGTGACAAGATCATCATTTCGGATATTTAGATAAACAATACTATTCAGTATCAAAAAAAAGAATTAGTAATGATTATTGTGATCGAGAATTGGCTCATAAACAACGTCGTTATAATAAGTTATCACCATCAATATCTTCATTGTCGGATAATTATTATCGAAAAAAGTCATTAAGACATCATCATTCAAAACAAAAATTATCTCGAGCCAACAAAAGACAACGAATCAATTGTGCATGTCATGCTTCATATGATGATAATGAGTATAGTGCAAGTGATTGTTAACATTTTTATCTTTACTTGTCGACAAATCGAAATAAAATTTTTGAGATACAGTAGGAATATTTAGTTGTTGACAATCAATGATCGTACAATGAACTAGAAAGATTTTACTAGATTTGTTCAGGTATAGTCTATTTTTTCAGGAATGTGAGCTTTTCTAAATAGCTCTAATAAAAGATATCATTTTGGGTGGATGCATTATCAAAGCTTTTTATTCTTGTAAAATCATAACATTTCGAGCAAGTGAAATGAAAATTACTGCAATGTAGATTTCAGCGCTTTTTCATCTTAAGTTACTGACTTACTCCATGTTGTTCAAACCACGATTCTTTCACTTATTATTTTTTTCCAGCCACATCGACTGTTGTCGGTTAGTTTTCAAGTTGAATTATTCATTAAATAGGAAAAAATTTGGCATATTAAAATCGACTTTTTTTGAATTGAAAATATTAATTTAATAGGCAAATTATAAAAACTCGATAAAAAAAAGCCGAGTAAATCGTGCATACACTATGAACAGGCTGTCTACTGTTCTTCGCTTTGTACGATGCTTCATCGATCCTATAGCATTTTGTTAATACTATTTAATCATCATCAAAATCTCTGTTTCATTCACTTCGAAATGAAATAAATAAAATTCTTATTAATTTGTTTTATTTGTTTGCATAAAACATAAGAACAATGGAACGCATCAGAAAAAGAAAAAGAAAACAATTAATTAGGAATAAGAAAATCCTCCAACAGTCATTTCCATTTGTGTTTGTTGAGCAGCAAATGCAATCCAATCTGAATTATAAGTTGGTAATAAACCCATTGATTGACATTTATATAAAGCTAATGCTAAATGTGTTAAATTACCCAAAAAATAGATAACTTTATGTAACCATATATTTCCAACTACACCTTCATGTTCTAATGATGAAAATGCTGAACCAAGAGAAAATATAGACTAAAGAAGAAAAATTCATTAAAAAAAAAAGAATAAAAATAAAATTATTCACTTGTATTGGTTTCATAAATAACATAACAACAATCATAATTGACATAAGTGAAAATGAATTTCCAGCCATCCATGCAAAAATCATATTCATTGGTAATTGTTTTATTGGTTGTAATGCTATATCCCATGAACGCTTAGCTAATAAATGATCATCATCTTCGCGTGTTACTATATCTGCTACTCTGTGTTCACTATAACCAATAGGTGTTAATACAAGAGTATCATTAGTAGCTGTTGTTGTTGTTGTTAAAGCATTATCACTACTTGCTGTTGTTGTTATAGCAACAGCTAAACGTTCATGTTTACGCATTTGTAAATCGATAAACCATTTTCGACGTGAAGGAATCGACCGTGTCGATGTAGTAGTACTACTTGGATATTGATTAGACATCTGAAGAAAAAAACAAAAAAACAAACAAAAGACTATCTAAACACGTCTCATTTTCTTTGGTCGTTGTAATCCAACATGTAATGTTGGAATACTAGTATTATCAGTTATAGTAACAATATCAATCCCAGCTAATTGTAAACCTTTTATTGCCATTAAACGTCCTGGACCAGTACCTTTAACAACAACTCGTACATGTTTCATATTACGTCTTAATAAATTATTTCCCATATGTATTCCAACAGCTTGTGCTGCTGTTGTTGTACCTTTTTTTGCATTATGAAAACCAACAACACCACATGATGTACGAAATATTTGTTGTCCTGTACAATCACTAACATCTACTAATGTATTATTACGTGTACATTTCATATGAACAATTGGTAAATCTTCATATTTAACTTGTAGAATTTCAGGATTATTTGTATCACCAATTAATTTTTCGAAATCTGTTTCACGAACTTGACCAGAACCACCATAATATTTATCAACATCAATACTTAATGGTGTTTGAATTTTTTCTGGATGTAAATTTATTTCACGTACAGCTCCGTCACGTATATCAGCATGTGAACGTTTATAATTAATAGATGTTAATGATAAAAAACGAAGAGATTGTTGAAATGTTGATATTGATAAAGGAACATAGTGGGAGAAAAGACGATTTAACATCTGAAATTTAAAAACAAAAAGCATGCATACTGACTTCTAACACATAGAAATTAAAAAATGCGATCAAAGGGGATGTCTCTAGACTAAGAAATATCAGTATATATGTATAATATTGTTTTGTTTAAGTACTGAAATATGTGACGTCTTTAATCTCAACAATTTAATAGTGAAAACTTGCTTAAAATATATTTAAAATTTTCGTATTTATCTTATGATTTAACAGTTTCGGTTCTACATGATATTTTGGAAATCGAATCGATCTATATCATTCTATTTAGATCAATCGTTAGCTTATTGCTGTATAGATACTACCAGTTTACGGTAATTTTTAAATGAATGCTGTAGTTCCCTTCAGAAAAATTGATTTTCGAACTTTGACTTGCAACTCTGTATAGAGACAAGTCTTTATCAAAGTAGTTTGTTGTGGAAGTTTCAAGTCTTTTGATTTCCTTCTATCCTGAAATAATAATATCGAATCTTCCGTTGCATATATGAGCAATGTAAAAGACACGCTTTGATCCTAGCTGTATCTTAAGGCTTCCTCTCAAAATAGGTTCTCCAAGCTAGAACGTGCTATTGAGCTGAAACTTTGTGCATATATTGAGAGTGGATAGTTACATATACAAAAAAATTTTCAGCCGACAGAGATATTCACCAAACAAGGCTCAAAAATAACACATTTGGCAAACATTTAGGCTCACTCTATATATTCTTCTATGATACTAAAAAAAAGCTTATTTTAACAAAACGGTCACGAGAATCGCTAGCCCTAAACACGAACTTTTAAACAAAAACAAAAGTTATTGGCTACAATGAAGCTCCTTCGAGAATTCTGGAAGATACGATCTACAACCCATAAAACGAAAAAAAAAATTTTTGTTTTTTTCCAGAAACAGCTTATTTTTCGAATAGGAGATGAGAAAAATCTTCAAAAAATTTTTATCATTTATGAGAGATTAGATCACGGACTATCTTTCTCTGCATTTATCTTAGTTTCGATCATGCTGACGAAAAGTGACTTTTTTTTTTAGAGGTGATCTTAAGATAGGAACAACGACAAGATCTGAAATCGAAAATTAGTTTTCATGATAGAATCCTGTATTCGGGTAGGATCACATAAACTAAATCGATAGATTCTACTTAGGAAAGAACTTGACTGGCTTTTCAATCCAATCCAATACAGGACCTTCATCAAGAATAAAAACAAGACATGTACCGATATAGTTTGTCATTTTTGATCGTTGTTATTCTATATATATATACATACAAAAAGTTTTTACTATAAAGAAAAACATGAAATCTATTACGATGAAATTTTTTCTTCTTTATTGATTTCATTATTTGATAATAGTTCATTCTTTTTATTTAATCCTAATTGAAAATAATGTAATTTTTCTTGATATGTATCTGGTGGATAATGAATTTTTGGTGGTGTATATCTAACATCATGTTCATGTTCATCATAATTAATACCATCAATTGAATCTTTTGTCATTTGAGTTTGATTATTTTCTCTTTGTTCAAATTCAATATTTGAATCAATTAAACCACGATAAAAATATTGTAAACGAGAAGATTTTTCATATTGTTGATCATATGGATGACCAAAACATATTTTTGTTATTCCACATTGTTCTGCACGTTGTGCTAATATTAATCCAAGATTATAAGCAACAGAACGATCTTTACATGTAGCTAAATGTTTTCGAATAGCCCATTCACGTGTTGATGCTTGTACACAAGTATTTCCTGTATAATAATGATCAATTTGTGCTATTAAATGTCTACCAGATGAAAGAAGACGTGCACGATGTAAGTAACCTTTTGATGGATATTGTAATGGCCAACCAATCGAACGCCATTGTAAATTTTGCCATTCAAGTGTACGTGGATTACGATTAAGAAGACGTGATGAAATAGTATAAGAACTATTTTCTGTTGAAGTTGAAAGAAAACGACGAATAATATTCATCTAAAAACATATATTGAGATTTATATATATATATATATATATATCTGATTTCTTAGACAGATAGATGAATATTTTCCAATGTTGGTTTTTTTCCCTTTGTCTTAAAACAAAATTTATCAATATACAAAAAAAAAAAAATTTTAATGTGAAATAAAATAAACCAATAGATGAACAAAAAAAAAAGATTAATGATGTTTATGAAATATTTCACTGTAATTGATCCTTATCGATAAGTGAATCAGAACTTTTTAAAGGATTTTTTAATAATCGATTACCAACACGTATAAATGGATTATTTAATGGATTAAATTGTGGATCACTAATACGATCAAAATTTTCATTATTATCACCACGTGTTAAATGATATAAAACTGTTAGAATTGTTATAAAAACAAATAAAATTATTAATATCATATAACATGTAAAACGAATACGAGATATTTGTGTTCGATTATTCATTGAAATACCCTTGCGATTAGTTGGTTGTCGAGAACGTAACCATCGAGCTAACCATGTAAAAACACTACGACGTTTATATTTATCTTCATCATCAGAATCCATTTGTGATGGCTAAAATATAACAATTATAGAGAATTTAATGAAATCAAATGAAGAATCTAGACGAAAATTAACACACATAGTTTTTCATCTATTATAATGTATGTAGATTGATATTCTAAAAGCGTCGAAATCGAATCACTTTTTGATAGCCCGATCGAACTTAGAAAATGATAGAACTCTACAATCACTGTAGTCATTTATTAATGCACTCGACTCCTTCCATGTAGATGAGAAATGTCATTGAATCGAATAAATGAAACTACCGAAATGTTCACATAATAAAGATTTCTGAGATGTTATCAGTTGCGAGATGCAACAAAACCCATGTAAAAAATGTTGATGAAAAATCAATTAAGTTTAGACCGAGTGGCTCGACAAAGGTTTTGCATCTGCCCGATTCGGAGAAAAAATCTCTCTCGGCCAAACCAGGTAACTTATTTCGAGTCCTGATGTCTAACAGGCGCAGTTTCCGATAGTAAAAACTTCCGTCGATCGATCTTTTCTTCCTTGTACGGCTCTGTATAGTAATAAATTCCTTTTATCACAAAAGAAAAAGATAATCTAGATTGAATGTTTGATTATTCAATTAAAATATAAAAACTGATCAAGGACAAAATAAATTTCAATAAACATACTCTAGTTGTTAATATTGTTGTTCCTTGTATCATATCAATAGATCGATGTGGATGATGTGATAATCCACTAGTACTTCCTATATGTCCTCCATTAATTTTTGGATTAACAATAACATAACCATTATTATCAGTTTCAGTTAATAATGGTTGTTTATCTTGACTTAAATTTGAATCATTTGACGATAATATTGGTAATCTATTTGCCCAATTAACTGTTGATAATTTATTTCGTACATTATCAGCAACAGGTGAAACAAGATTTGATGGTGGAAAAACACATGTATGACATGTTGGACATATATATCCATCAGGTGCTGTATGATTTGGAAATGAATGAAAATATTCATTAAGACATGACCAATGAAATAAATCATAACAAATAAGACGTATAGTTTCATCACCAGTTTCAGTTAATGAACGTTGACATAAAGCACAATTTGGATTATAATCATTATCTTGTAACCAAGATACATATGAACGTACAATACATTGTGAATGTTCATTAACAAGACATGATTCACAAACATTAACATGATGTTTAAAACAAAATAAAGTAGACACTTTGCGTTGTGGACATTTGCAAAGGCCCATGATTTAGTTGTTGAAGAAGAAAACAAAAAAAAAAAAAAGATGCACAATTTAGAACATACTTAATTGATACGTTGTTATTGGATTGAAATGGGTATTTATCGGATTGATAATAAACCAATTAAAATATTCGATAGAAAATTTTAAGAAAAAAATCAAAAATAAATATTTATAAAATTTTATTTTTAAAAATAATTTTTAACAAGTTAAAAAAATCGATCCAATCATATCAAATCATCAATAAAAGTCGATGACTCATCGTAAGTAACAACGACAAATTAACACGTCGATCTATCTGTTTACGATTGATCTTGGTTCTTCAATAAATTTCCCACATTATTTAAGAAAAAAACCAAAATTTCAAATGGCATTCGAAGTAACTCGTTTTTGGTTAAAAGAAGTATGCATTAAACGTTGGTATATATTTCCATTTATTGCTTATTCAATATTCGTTCATAAACATGAAAATCTTCGACAAGATTATTTTCGTAATCGAAGTCAATTAGTTGGTGGAATGAAAGAACCCAACTGGTAAAAAAAGATATATATATAGAACATTTTTTCCCTTCGATTGTCCTGTTTGTTTTTCATCCTCATAGATCGAACATTTGTATACTTTGACTTTGTTTTTTTTTTTATAACAAATAGATGTACTTATACCAAAAACACAACAATTTATTTTATCAATCATAATGGAATAGACTTTTTTTTTTTGAAATCTGAAACAAAGTATAAATAGATATCTCGTTTCCATAAACAACAAAGAATCTATTGGTACTTTATTCTAAAGAATTAATCAATAAAAATAATGTTATAACTATCCCCATCTTGATGGAAAAAATAACATACATATATATATATATTCATCTGACTAACAAGAGAAAGTTCCGAGATAATTAAAAGCTTTTGAGTTCATATTGTGTTCAGTTGTAGGGAATCGATAGATTAGAATACCTTCCAAACGATTCGTACTGACATTAAGATTTGGTCGAGATATTGATTTTTTAGTGAATCTTCCCTGTATGAATTCAATTTTTCGATAAAATCCTATTGCTAAGTTTTGACTTGAAAACTTTGCCCAAATGAAGGTTTCAGCAAGATTAGCGTATGCACAAAATTTTAGAAGTTTTCAATCGAGTGTTTCTGAGATATACATTTTTCAGACTTCAAGTGGTTATCCATTGATATCGTGTAAAACATACATATTTCAGAGGTATTCAACAGAAAACTTCTGTCATTTTGTGCATAAGATAGTCTCCCTGAGACTTTCGTCTGAATAGTTTTCAGAACAAATTCCTTATTTTACCTTCGTAAATTTTATTTTGAATATATACAGGGTGGTCCAAAAGTCACGCACCAAACAAAAAAATTGAATATCTCCATTACAACTCAAGCAAACTAGCTGAATTTTTTATCAACGATAGAGCCATGTTCAAGGTTTATATTCATAAAGACATGCCTAGAGAGATCCTTTATTAAGTATCATTATTGACCTCAACAAGAAATATTTACTTTTTTACAGTTAGAAAAAAAAGTTACTTTGTCGAAAAAAATTGAATATCTCCACTATGGCTCGAGTTAACGAGCCGATTCTTTTATCAATGATAGAAGTATGTTCAAGCTTCATATCCATAAAGACATGCCTAGAGAAGCCCTTTGTTAAGTATATTCTTTTCTATCCTATCTATGAAAAAGTAAAATTATTTTGTTGGGGTCATTAGTGGTACTTTATAAAGGCTCTCTCTAATATTGTGCGTATGGATTTAAAGTGTGACCATGCTTCTATTATTGGTAAAAAAATCAGCTCGTTTGCTCGAGCCGTAGCGGAGATATTTAATTTTTTCTTGATATCATGAGTTTTGAGCCAAATTCAGGGTGGCCCAAAAGTCAGTTTACCAAAATAAAAATTGAATATCTCCATTACAGCTCGAGCAAACGAGCTGATTTTTTTACCAATAATAGTGCCATGTTCAAACTTCATATGCATAAAGACATGTCTAAAGAGACCCTCTGTTTAGTATACTGTTTTTCTTTCTATCTGTGAAAAATTAAAAATTTTCTTGCTGAGGTCATTAATGATACTTAACAAAAGGTCTCTCTAGGCATGTCTTTATGAATATAAACCTTGAACATGGCTCTATCGTTGATAAAAAATTCAGCTCGTTTGCTTGAGTTGTAATGGAGATATTCAATTTTTTTGTTTGATGCTTGACTTTTGGACCACCCTGTATTTCAAAGTACATATTTTACTCTATTTGTGAATGAAAAAGTTAGGCTTCTAACATTTTTCATTCGAATACTGTCGACTCCCACATTTATGTGTAATAAAAAAATATCAGAAGTCGAGAACAAGAAAAAATGAAATTTCAATAATATGGAAACACATAAGCAAAATATTTTTTTTCTAGTAAAGTGTGAAATACAACACTTATGCGAATGATGATCTGAAGGGAGTGTTGAAGTATAGGTGTAAAAATTTTGACCGCCTCCTTTCCCCACAGACCGTATATCGATAATGTCTTGTTATTACTTCCTTATTATATGTTCGAAGGATTAAATAAAAAGACAGTGATGAAATGTATTCCAAAATAGATAGAATAAAACAATCTTCATATGATTAGCAAATACAACTTCGTTGTATTTTCTATTTTAATCTCGCAAGAATTGCGCTAACAGCTTTTTTTCAAAATTGCAACTAACATATTGTAATGGAAGAAGCATTCGAAAAATTTTTTTAGACAACATGAGTCTCGATTGATTGTTGAGTTTTTAATGAATAATAATTTTGTTTTTGCAAATATTTTAGTTCATAGATTTAGTACGAGATGATCATATAAACATTTGCAGCAACAATGAATAACACTAATATAGTCTACTAGATAAATTTATATCTAGGGAAATGTATAATTGTAAATTATTTGTTCAACAAAATAAGAAATTTGAAATAATTTTAATGTTGGAAAGTTGAACTCCTTGTTTTTGTTTTTGTTGTGACATCGAATGATATACATTCGGACAAGTTTTCATCGAAAAGTTCAGACTAAATTCTCTAATTATATTAAGACAACTCGATTGTTATCTTTACTATTCGCGGCAAAATTACAACTGATATATTGCATGAATATTCTTTCCATTAAGTTTTGGTAATCAACTTGCATTCATGACGGAGAAGATGATCAATATCCATATGCTTTATAAATTTTCTAAGAATAATTGAATTTCAATAGTTAGAGACTTCTGTTGATTTGTCAATAAGTATTTGATATTATATTATTCTTTCATAGTATCCATTCAATAATTGATTGTACTTTGCTAAAAAAATAAATCAGTGTTTAAATCTCTGTTTTAATTTTTCTTCTGAATATATGAGAAAAAAGCTAAACGTAATACTTTTCATTCACAAGTTTTATTATTCAAATTTAATTCTCTTATCGATGTCAATTATCTTAAAACACGTATTTAAAATTAGTTTTAACGAATATTTCATCGAAAAGGACGGTGATAAATATCTTCATAAATTGAGTTTTGATTATTTCAAAAAAAAATTACCTGCTGATAGTAATCAATAACGATAAATTATATTGCATTTTACTCTTACTGTAAAATATGAAAAAATTTCAATTGAGAAATTGTTACAGTGTGGAAAAACTCTTGATCATCCTACATCATGCACTTATTAGATGTTGGCTATGGATTTCAAACAACAAATTGATACAATGTATTATCAAAATGCTTTAATTATTCAATTCAAACAGTATTGCTACATATTTAAGGTGTAAACAATAAAATCAATAGTAAGATATAAAGGGTGTAACATAGATATTTATTTTCTTACATGTTCCTAGAATGAAAGAGGCTAATATTTATAATGTATATACTAGATGTCTAGATCTACTGTACACTAGAATTTGAGTATTGTTACAAAGATATAAACATTATCAAAATCATAAGAAGTTTTGAAATATTATGTGAATAATAATAAATGAGAAAAATTGTAGTCATTCCATCACATACATTCATTACAAGTAAGTTCTATTTTACTATATATAACTCTTGCGTTCTGTTATTTGTCAACGTCATTATAAATAGGGAAAAAAAAATTTTGATAGTGAATTAGAATAGGAAAATCGAGTAAAAACAACAGCGGAGAACGTTCAATGCGGAAAACTATCGACAAATTATGGAAAAAATTCTGAAGCTAGTAATACATCAATATGGAGAACAAATACATGGACATTGATGAATGGTTTTTATTGTTTATAAAAAGTATTTCGATTTATAAATCTCTTTTCGAGCAGTACTTTTTATGTGACATTAAAATCAATAGAACGACTCAAGTTTTTCTGAAAATCTTTCACTCTAGGAACATGTAAGAAAAAAAAATTTCATGAGAGAATTAGAATTTATGTTACACCCTTTATACATTTTCTGGAATTCATAGATCATTTTTAGTATTTAATTAATATAATAACACGAAAAAGCAGAGCTGGGCAAGTACGAGTACGCACTTGTCCAATTCTATGAGAAAATCAATGTTTCGTTTCAAGAAAATTTGCTAAAAATCAATAGAATTCTATATAATTTGATTGAATAGATATGAAATTTAGTTTGTTCAATATTGAGATAGAAGAAGATAATCATCTGAAGAATATGTCAAAATCAAAATTACATCGAAGTAGAACATAATTTTCTCTTAAAAATAGTATCAAATAAAAAGATGTCCGACGTTGTTGTTCTCTATAGATTTGCTGAAAACCATAGATTGCTAATTGTTGAATTATTGAGCTTATGTCCACTCATCTTTAATTCTAGCGCAGACATTAATTAGTTAAAACATTTGAATTTCATGTTCAATAATTCGATTAGATTTTTGAAGCACTGATTTATTAGCTTATATAGTAACCATTGACTTTTAAACTAACTATTGTTATTATCTTTTGGTGAGAAGTGAAAAATGATTGATCAACATACATTTTTCTTACTTGACAACATATTAGTGAAATCAAGGGAATATTTTTTGTTTTTAATGTTATTCATATGAAAAAAAAAAAATCTTTCTCGTCAACACAAAAGAAAAACAAAGATCTGTTCGCTTGATTGAACAAAAGTTGAAATATGTCAATTTCTTTTTTTCCCGTCTAGTTATTCTTAATGTAACCTTTACGCTGAAGGTCATTAATGTTTTTTTTTTGCTTGTATTATCATTACGAACTTGTTCTTCATGAGTAACTTTTCGATCAATATCATGTTCTAGTAAATGACATTTTGCTTTTTTTTTTCACACGCATTGCTTCAGTTGTAGTTTGACGTTCCGGGTATTTTTTTTTCAATCAATTTGTTTCTTTTTTTTTATTTTAGCATGTTGTGTTTCACTTTTTACGATATATTTCTCACATATTATAACTTACTTTCTTTCTCTAGAGAGCACCATTTAATACAGTTAGATTTTCTATGGTAAAACAATAATTACCTTTGGTTACTATACAAAACATGATATCAATTGAATTGATAAGTATATATTTATTTATTTATTTATTTATAATATTGAAATTAATTGTTTTTTTTTGTTTTATTTTCATAAAAATTCTATTTTGAAAAAATAAAAGAAAATATTTCATTCAAAAAAAAAAACTTTTAGTCGTTGTTTATTGGTTAATTTAGTCTACCAACAAGAATTTTTTTTTTCTACTTCATATCCAGTTGTTTGTCTCGATCACGGTCTTATTTATTTGCTACAAATAGTTTTTCCTTCTCTTTTTTTCTCGTCGATTGCATTACAAAAAATATATAGTATAACCAATTCAATTATTTTATTCGTAAGAATATAGAGGAAAAGAAAAGAAAATATTTATGGATATATATATATATATATATATGCTTTTGATTTTTGTTTTTTTTTTTTTCTGAACTAAAAGGAATATTTAATTTAATGCTATCTTTATAACATAAAAGGCGATAATTATAGACTTGTCAAGTAGTGATTTTATTATGAAGAATAGATAAAAAAAAAGAAAAAACCGATTTTAGAATATATCACACTATTCTTATCTCTATTTTTTCTTTGTTTCTTTCTAGATTTATTATTGTTTATTGTCTTATTCTTTTGTCATTCTTCGTCTATCTATCATACGAGAAATTCTATTAACATCGATCATCATGAATTAAATCCAATGAGAGTTGTCATAAATGTATCGAAATAGGTTCGATAGAAAAAAAAATCATGAAAATAACAAAACAAAATTTATTTGATATATATATATATTTTGTTTTTGTTCATATAGAAGTACAACAGATCCCGTTTCTAAACAATCATCAATAGCACATACTCTATCAAGTATACCTGTAATGGCTACATCTAAAGATAATGATAATCCTTCATCACCACAATCCCCAACAGATACACAAAATCTTTTAAATAAATCAACAATGAATACAAGTAGGATAAAAAGAGCATCAATAACACAAATAATTAGGAGTGAGTGTTTAAGAAAGTCAGTTATTTCTAGTACATCAATGATAGCATGACAATTCAGAAGTTTTTGTTTTTTTTTTCTTATATGTTATAGAGGGTAATGAGTATAATAAATTCTGAAACTTTTAACAATAATTTTTACTATTTGAAACGAGAAAATTTTGATTTATTATGCGAAAAATTAGTCACTTTTAACCTTTGGGCGCTGTTGTCACTTTTTCACACGAAGGACGTATGTGGGTCCGAATGGGCCCACATGCAATTACGTAGAAAATTCGCGACTTTTTTAAAAATTTGGATTAGTAGTCATTCTTTTTATCTGGAAAAATGTGTTAACATGATCCCTTGCAGGATCAAGAATGTGAAACACGATGGACTAATGTTACTAATTAAATGGACATCGTTTTGTTCCATTTCTTGACGACAGATTTTTAGCTTACCGTTTATTTGGTGCCTCAAAACTACAGTTTCTCTGTCACGATCTGTGATGTTCTCTGCGAGTTATCTGTCATGATCTGTGATGGTCTCTGGGGTTCTCTGTCACGGTCTGTGATGGGCTCGGAGGTTCCCTATCAGGGTCTCTCATGGGTCCAGAGGTTCCCTGTCACGGTCTGTGATGAGTACGGAGATTCTCTATCATGGTCTGTGATGATCTTCGGGTTCTCTGTCACGGCCTGTGATGGTCTCCGAGGATTCTCTGTCACAGCCTGTGGGGAGGGGAGAGCGGGGGAAGGGGGTCCAAAACTTTTACCCTATACAATTCAATACTCTTTTTAGATCGTGTTTCACAAAAGTAGTTCGATGTACTTATAACAAATCTAGTAGATAAATATCAAATAATAGACGAATCACTATTGGCCGTGACAAGTTAACGAATCTCTTGAGAGATAAGCCTTTGGGATAACAGAGGGCAGGTTGAATAAGAAAAAAATCACATGTATAACACAAAAGGTGTTAGGGGGTCCGTGTGGACCCACCTCTTAATTTTTTCCCTATAAGAGGTATCAAAGAAACTTCATATGATCTTCGTGCATTGTTAGAAGAATAACGATTAGAGAAGAGATCGATCCGCAAACGATAAGTATTAACGTAGCCAAAGACAAAAATCATCGTTGTGGGTCCGGTTGGACCCCCAAACAGCGTCCAAGGGTTAATTAAAAATATGATTTTGAAAATCAAAAAACTCATTATTTTCTACAACATATTTGAAAAAGTCAAGAATTTCTCAGATATTACTTCTTCGTAGATATCTTAGACAATTTACTGTTAATATTTTTGTTTTCATATATATATATATATAGATCGAGAACCTAGACGTAGTCGAACTACATGTCAACCAAAAGGAACAATACCTTATATAGTAATAATATCAAAATTTTAAAAAAAGTAATTTTTATTAAAAGAATGTTTGTTTTTAATCTATTTTCAGGTAGGCAACAGTGATACATTAGAAAAGATTGCTCTTCATTTTAATTTAACGCCGTCCGAATTACTCCAGCTCAATAAATTATATTCACGTATTGTCTTTCCTGGACAAGTATATATTTTATCTCTAATATTTTTATTTTTTATTTTTTTGATATTTCTAGATACTCTATGTACCTGAAATATCTTCTTCTTCAAATATAAATAATGAACAAGAAAAATCTAATGCTCTGCCAATAAAATTACCATCATCATTATTAAAAATCCCTAAAGATGATGATGTATTTATTGTTCATAATGATCGTCGTACATTAAGTGAATCTTCTCCACCGGTTATACAACAAGATATTGGTCAAATGGTTTGGTCAATGTCACGACAAATAATATCAAAACCTGGCCGTGCTCAACGATTAGAAAGTGATCAAAGTATAGAAAACGAATTATTAACACGACCTATTGAAGATCGTATAAAAACTCAAAAAGAAGATAATAAAAAACAAGTTAGACAAATTAAAAAATCTTTATCTATAGAAGAAAGTCAACAATTAGATGAAGAATGTTTACGACGTTTTATTAAACTTAATGTTAGACTTATGACTGATGATCATGTAAGTTATTAAATTAAAATGAAGAAGAAAACAAAAAACGATCTAGAAAATTGTTTTTTTTTTTTTCGGTATTATGAAAGAAAATGATAAGTCGATAGTACAAACATAATGGATAATGAAAAATGATGATTTTCTATGTATATGAGATTGAAGTCAAATTTTGTTAACTTCAAATTTCAATACAAAAAACTTTCAACGTAATTTCTGTATGAAATACGATAAAGTTCTATTTATCATAATTAAAGTGTTATCGGAACAAACATTTTATTGTGTGAGATTGTTTTTAGTTAATCTAAATTTATTATTTTCAATAGAAAATTTTATTGTGCTGTGAAGCAATCATGTAAAACTGTAATTTAATCTATAAAACAATTTTATGATATTCTCACGAGATAACATATTCAACTCTCGGGCGCTATTCAATCTTGTATTGTGGCTTTGCATTGAACCTGAGGAAACTAAGAAAGTCTTAAAATAGTTTGGAGCCATGTGTATTACTCAGTCAGAGTTATGAACGCTTTAGCGTATTTCGATCTCTGGACAAACTATTCATGGAAAATTTTGCCCATAGACAAGTCTTACAGTCGTTAGAATATTCTAAAAATTTCAGCTCAGACAAATATATTCTTTTTGAGATATTGAATATTCAACGAATACTTACATATATCACAAGGTAAACCATATAATCGAATTTTTTGACGAGGGAAACCCTCCAACTGTTTAACTGCTTTTGAGTCGAGGTTATGTATGCATTATGTAAGTCTTAATGAGCTATGAATACCTTAAAAAGAGTTCTTGCTCTTAGCTTATTACAACGATAATACTGTACTTTTATGGATTTTTTAAAATGAATGATTTTCGAATTTCGAATTGAAATTTTGCATGGAGATAGGTCTTAACAAGAATGTTTTGTAGCTGTTCCTTTTCTAAGATACAACTATGGTAATAGCGTATCTTTTATGTCACACATATAAACGAGCAGTTTTGATGTTCTTATTTCACGATAGAGGTAAATCAAAAGATCTGAAACTTTCAGAGTGAACTATTCTTGTTAAAGTCTGTTTTTATGCAAAGCCTCAAGTCGAAATTCGCTAAATCAGTTTTTTTTCTGATGTTTCTGCATTCATCTAAAAAATACTATAAAAGTGAAGTATCTTCATAGCAATAAGCTAAGAGCGCAAGAACTCTTTTCAGGATATTCATAGTTCATTTGAATCTCTGTAATGTACATAGTTTCGACTCACAAACGATTATTTCCTTGTTAGACTCTCGATATTTCAAGAAAAAACATGTTCATTTGAGCTGAAATTTTTAGGATAATCTACTAATCATGGTGTCGATTTTTGAGCAAAATTTTCGATGATAATCTTATAATATAGTTTCCCATGAATAGTTGACCTCAAGGCTGAAAACAGTCATAGCTGTAGCTTAATAATACATCGACTCGAACCTATTTTGAATTTTTCTAGTTTCATGGAATCCTACTCGTATCCAAAATATGAAATCATACGGCTTCCGATACTTGAATATGTTCCCTTGTTAGACATCGGAAACCTGTGTTACTGTGTATCAGCTGAGATTTGCTGTTTTAACTTTTCTATGTATGATCGTTTCAAGTATTAGCTTGTCATTTAATTTCAAGTACACTTAATAATAAATCTATGTCGTATGAATTTTGCGGAAAATCATAGTGAAGTTTTATAAATAAAAGAAGTCACTTGTAAAAGCATAACTTTTTTTTTTTGCAATGAAATATTTTCATTTTAGAAAAGTGTTGCTGGTACATTACTTGTTACACCAAATGCAGTCATGTTTGATCCCGATGTTCTTGATCCATTGGTTAAAGAAAATGGTATTGATAAATATGGTTTAATAATTCGGTTTGTTAAATTCTTTTTTCTTTATTAATTTGAATGTTTTTTTTGTTTTTTTTTCTAGAATGGATTTACTTGCTGGTATTGCTTTATATGAAGATATTGCGATGTATGAACATGCAGCAACATTACGGTATAAAAAATTTTGTAAAATATTGAACTAGAAAAAAAAGAAACAATTATGTTTTATTCTATTAGAGATGAGGAAAAACGAAAAATGTGTCATTCAACAAGTTTAAAAAATTTTCATCAATCTACAACAATTTTATCCAATAATGATGAACATGAAATACATGAAATAATGTCATCATTATTGGATCATATTGATAAAGAACTAAATTTATCAACTGATTTAGGTGTTATGTTATATAATGTATCATCAAATATTCAACGTCGTATATCATCAGATAATCAAAGTTTTCATCATGAAGATTTATTTCATTCATTTGATGATTCTAAACATTCCATTGGAGTTTTAATTGATGATAAAGATTTATCATCAGGTAAATATTAGTTTTTAATTTTTTTTTCCTCTTGAAAATTTAATTAATATATTAAAATAAAAGAAATTTTCAATTGGACACGACTTATACAAGTTATTGTATTAAAGAGTAGGTTTTGTTATTTGGTGTAGGTGACACGACAGATGAGTCTGACATAAGAAACAAATTATAGAAATACAAGAAAATAGGTTTTTTTTTGAATAAGTCCACATTCACATCAAAAATCGAACACAAAGTATAAGTCTCTTGTTGGATGTGAGTAAAGAGAAGATGAACACCCACACTCTTCTGAAGGATGATATCGAGCTATTAAAGTACTTTTAATCTCTTATGTATTTTTCTTAATACAATAGTTCACCCATCTCTGCTTAGAATTCAGCACGAAAAAAATCCATCAATTTATGAATCTATCAAAGACTTGAAAATGGAACAATATGAGAACTTGACAATGACTAAACGATTGTAAGTCGAACTTGTAAAACTAAGGAAACGTATTAAGCATGAACTGATTACAGCAACAAATTTTGACTTTTCATTTGACAATAAAAGACTTATATTTCAAACGAGCAAAAGCTCCGCGCAATGTTTGATATGAATGTAGATTTATTCAAAAAACACTATTTTCTTCTATTTCTTTAATTTTTTCCTTATGCCAGACCCAAGTGTCGAGAATAGAAATGTACGGGACCAAATTTTTTTAGTTTCGATAACTTTTTTATTCACCGATGTCGGCCATAATCTCAGTAAATCAGGTGTAGTCCTGATCCCGGCAACTCTTTTTCAGTAGTTCCGGTCCTGATGATTTTAGTTTTTCGGATCCCAGTGACTTTAGTCGTTCGGGCTCGAATGACTTTAATCTTTCAGGGCGCGCTGATTTTAATCTTTGCTATTCCGATGACTTTAGTCTTTCGGGGCCCCATGATTTTAGTTTTTTGGGACTCAGTTTCAGTGACTTTAGCCTTTCGGATACCGGTGATTTAAATTTTTGAGGTGCCGGTCCAAGTGGCTTTAGTCTTTTGAGTTCGAGTCTCAATGACTTTACTGTTTCGGGCCTCAATGACTTTAGTCTTTGGAGCTTTGAGTTTTTCGAGCTCTCGGCCCTGGTGCTGGTGATTTTGGTTTTTCAGCTCTCGGTTCCGATCTAGAGAAAACTATCCCAGAATTTATTCGTATCATATCTAAAATAATTCTTCGGTAGTTGCTTTTTTGATTTATTTAATGAACAACTAGCATTTTTTCGAATCATCTCTCTTGAATTATATTCTTATTCATATAATTTGTAGGATAATTTGATTAAAAGTCGTAGAATATTTCACTGTGAAGATGAGTCTCGGTCTCGGCAAATATTTTACTCGTAGTCCTGTACATCTCTTTTCGAAAGACTCATCTGTTGGTGTGCTTTGGTGTAGGATTATTTTATTTTGGGAAAAGAAAAGTTTTGAAAAAAAAAATTAATCGATGTTTTGTCTTGAAATTATTCATCTTTTTTCTCTTATTAAAGAATGTAATTTGGAAAATTGTGTACCTGCTGATGAATTTAATAAACGTTTCGGTGAAATAGATAGTAAGATGAATTGATTTTTCTTTCGAAAAAAAAAAAAAAACTTTTTTCTATTAAAATTAAGAATTATTACAAAAACAACATGACATTTATGTAACACCGCATCCAATAGAAATTCCATATTATTTATGTTTGAAAACAAGCACACCTACAAATGATATCGGATCTGTACAAGATAGACTCAATAGGAAAAGTATTGATTATGTTTATGGAAAAAAACAACTTGACCATGAATATTGGTTTTCTGTACCAAAAGAAAAGTAAGAATCAAGATTTTTTTTAATAATTCAAATTCATCATTGTTATGACTTTTTTGTTTTACATAATTCTTTGATGTTAATAGTAAAATATTTATCAGAGTATTTCGTTTCAAATGATGAATCTTTCTTAAATTAGAAATATATCCGTAAGGCACACTACAATGAGATATGAAACGTCTCGAAAGAATAAGTGCCATTTAAACCTTCCTTTCAGAGTTATAGCTATTTTACTAAAATTTTATGACTAAAATGTTCTGAAAACAATGTTCCTTTGGGAGATATTGAATTTTCAAAACTCGCTCATAATCTACGAAAGATGTGAGAATATCAGATTTTTGAAAATTCAACAACTTGCAAAGGAAATATTCTTTCGAGCTGAAATTTTCAGAACATCCTAGTCACTAATAGATCTATGTATGAGTCAAATTTTAGATCAAAATTCCATCATTCAAGTTGTTGGTACATACTATGTCATAGTATAAAACTCTTGTTAAATAGCTACAACTCTTAATGGAAGGTCGAAGGGCATTAATCCTTTTGAGGCGTTTCATATCCCACTGAGGTCCGCATTTTGTATAGAATACGAACTCAAAAATGATTTATCGTTTGCAACTACAAAAATAATATTTGTATAGATAACTCAGCGAGCTCTACTCAGCAATGACAGAAAAAAAAAATTTCAAATTGCTGGTACCTTAACTATAAGATTTGTCAAACTGTTTAACTTAAGTTAGTAATATTGAGATTTGTGAACGTAATATAAGTTTAAAATCAAGAGAATAGTTTGAATACTGCATCTCGTAAGCTACTTCAAGATTCTTTTAAAGAAATTTTTACTGAATATGCATAATAGATATGGCACCAAGTCTCTGAATTTAATGTTTTATTCAGTAAGGTATATTATATAAAAACTGAAATGTACATCCTTCGAAATTAGATGAAAACTCAAGTAATAACTTAATAACATTTTCGTGCATACCAAATGCTATCGATTGCAAAATATAATATACTCTAATGTTTTTTGAATAATTTATGATAAGAACATCATAGAGATCTGCAGTTTTCACCATTCACGAGGATCTTTAAAAACGATATTTTGAAGCTATTTCTCTTTCGATTTAGAGTTTTAATAGGACTAGTGAATAGAAAAAATTCTTCTTTTCTCATGTACACAAGACTGACATTTCTAGCTTGTTCCATTCATGAGACTCCCAACTCTAAGCAATTGACCTATGATCACCTAAAAAGCAATTAGACAGAGATAATTCACCACATTGAGTCGAATGGTGATATTTTTTTTTTGCGTTTGAAATGATTTGACTTTGTTATCTAAATATTTCTGAAATTCTACAATCAGCCTACATGTAAAAAGAAGTCAACACGGCGGAAATATTGAGATAACAATGTCAGATCAGTTCGAACCTAAAAGTAAATATTATCATTTGACTCAGCATGGTAAATTATCCCTACCTAGCTGCTTTTCCTGGTGATCACAGGTCGATCAGGAAAAGTGTTATAACCCTCGAACAGAACATGCTAGAAATGTTAACCCTGTGTAATTTTTTCCATCGAGTAATTCTATTAAAGTTCTAAATCGATAGGGAAATAGATCTAGAATATCGTTGTTGAAAATCTTCATCGAGAACTAATCTAATTGATCAATTGCTTATTACTCAAATTTCGAGATATACTCTGATGGCTTGAGGTTTTCTCTATTGGATAATGAAAACCGCAATATTCCTATGAAAAGTTATTCAAAAAAACAGTAAAATGTATTATACTTTGTAATTGATATGAGTGATGCATATGACATTCTATGAACAATAGATATTTTAAATTGATCAATTTCTATAATTATATTCAATAAGAAATCTATCATTTCTAATTATTCAAATGAGAGAAAAATAATTAAGTTGTGAGATATTTCTTGTTGTTTTATTTTTTGTTCGAAACAATGCATTCATAAAACTGACATATGTCTGTATCATGTCTCATGTAAAAAGAAAAACAAATATTAATAAATTTGGATTAAAAAATTTTAATCGTGTCTGATATTTTATTGAGAATTAATTAGTTTTTTTTTCGTAGTTCAAGCGGATTAGAGAAAAAACATTATTTAAAAAAAATAAAAATAGATCTTAATCAGATGATTTAGATAAAATGACTGTGTCATTATTTCGGTCATATCTTCAGTTTTTAAGGCATTACTTTGAACTTTTTTTTTTCTCAAATAATTATCTATTCCATTTTCTCTTTTTTTATAAAAATACCGGAAAACTGTTTGATTACAAGTTTAAAGTAGGAAAATTGGCCAAATAATAGAATGAAGTTCCGACATGTCCAATCCTTCTAAAGCTTCTTTTTATTCTGAAAAAATTCAAATAGTTTTCTATGATTAGTTTAAATGAAGAAATTGCTAAGATAATTTTGCTGAAGTAGAATGAAATGTTCTCTTTCTCGTTGTGTAGAGCGAGATCAATTTCAAACAAGTATTATAACTCGACAATGGATTTCTTTTAATTTGATTGACAACAATCAAAAAATTTCGTTTATTTTTCTCTTATCATTTAGAAAAGAATTCTAAAGTTTAATTATAGATTTCAACTGACATCGTCATTCTAAGTCAATTTTAAACTAATTGATCGATTTTTTGTTCCATGAAATTGCTTTATATTTTAATAAAAAAAAGAAACATTCTCTCCTAATACAAAAACAATATTATGTTAAAATTGCTATCTTATTTATTATGTTATGCTTCTTTCATACACTTTTAGACTGTATATTATTAGATGCTCGAAAAAAAATAATAATAATGTAGATATATTAATTTTGTAAGTGTTTTTTGAAGTGTGAAAGCTCATACGTGTCAATATTTTTACGCCGTCTCAATGTTAAACAATACTCATTGTGTTTGAATCATTTATATTTCTAATATGTGTACTGATACAATAATAATTTCTATATATCGAAAAACTAATAGAATAATTTTATAAGAAAAATTCAATAGAATATTCTAAATTAGAATGGGAAATGAAAAAAACAACCGAATATTAAACATGAGGAAAAAAAAAAAAGAAAATTCTATCGTTCATATTTCCTACACAAACAAGAATGATTGTTCCGGTAAATTATTTATATATGAAATATAATGCATGTCATAATAATACGATTTATTCTTTGCTGAATATTAATAGTAAGATTTATTATTAATTTTCAAGATCGTCAATCTATAATTTTTCATCATTAAAATGATAGATACATTCAAAAAAGAAATATCCCTAGTGTATGATTATATATATATATATATATACAATCAGTAATGACTTAGACCGAATGTTTGCTTAGAGAAAAATCTGATAGTAAGAAAATTAATCTTAAAGAATAAAACATGTCAAAATGTAATTGTTCTTTTTTATGTAATAAGACTTTTTGTTTTTAGCAATAGTAGATGAATTATATTTCCTACATGTAAAATCATTATAAATTGATCAATAATAGATAGACATTAATTCTATAGAGAATAGAAACCTGTGTATATTTGATCAAGATATTTTCATCTAATATTTTAGAATTGATCATATCTATGCATTTTTTCTTCGTTGGAGTCCTGATCATTCAACAGATTTATTATCTCATGATAATCATTTCGATAATAATAATACAACAACATTTAATCAAATTCATCGTCGTTCATCTTATACTCAAATAAAACAAAATGAAATCTCATCTGGTCAAGGTTTTGTTCTATTAGCAAATGATGATCCTGAATTAACAGATGATTATTTATATACTAATCAAAAAAATAATACTATTAATTCAAAAAATTCAATATCAATTGATAATGATATACAACAAAAAAAACAACATTATTTAAAACGACAAAATACTTTACTTAAAGAATGGGAGGTAAAATAAATGAAAGAAGAAAAAAGAAAAAGCTTATTTCATTTCATGTTGTTGTTGTCGTCGGCTTTAAAAAAAAAGAAAAGACACGGATATGTCAAGAAAAGATTGCAGATTAGCCAATACAATTAAATCCTAATGTCCTTCAACTAGTATTCTTCTTTTAGAAGAAAGAAAAAGAATCTTTCATGTAGAAAATTAAAAAAAAAAATCATAAGTTTATTACATTCATAAAGAGCCCTTTATATAGTTCTATCTACTTGAAATTGTCAGACTTTGTTTAAAAAACTCATAGTTTCCATAAAATTAATTTTTCTATTGAATAAATTTATACTTGTTAGAATAGAGAAGAATCAAATATATAAAATTAAAATATTTTTTTTGTATTTATTAGTTTATAATACTAGAAGGATATTCAACATAAGAAAAAAACACCTGCGGTTGTCTTGACAATGACATGATCCTCCAGGGAGAATTTAATTCATCTTTTTCTATAAAGTTCTAATACTTAGACATTATTATAAATATATGAAATACTTTTTTTGTGTCACGCTGGCATGAATAAGAACTTATTAATAAATTTTCTATATCATATACAAAAAAAAAAAAGAATAAAGAAGAGAGCATCCGTTCTATTCTCTTATTATATTTAAGATATTCAAAGGAAAGCTTAAATTATATGATGTAAGATTAAAAGAATAATCATGAAAATATCTTTTGAAGTTCATCAATTTTCTTTGTTAGTTTTATATAATATATAAGATATTTTAACAATAGAAATATGTTTCAATCAAGATAGAAGACCATGAGTCAATGAAAAAATAATTTGTTAAATCAAAAAATCTATTTTTATCGAAATATGTTTTACCATCTGATTATGATCTATCTCCTATCAAAAACATGTTTTTCTCAATATTTTTAGTAATAAAATAAGGAAAAACAATTAGCACTGACAACAATAATTTTGCATAACATTTCAAATCTTATCTGTGTCTAACACAATTTTTGTCTTAGTTTCTTTTTTCTTTTTTTTTTCAACACAATTATATGTTCTCTATAGTATAGTTTGTCAATGAAGACGTGACAGCAAGATAAAAAAAAGAAAGAACTCACTACTTCTACTTCCAGGATTGGTGGAAACATATAGTAAAGAGAAGAGAAATAGAAGTATCTTTTCTTTCTACATATTTTCTTTTCACTATTAGTAGTTTTATAACTATATTAATATTAAAAAAAAAAAACACGAGTAAGAAAACTACAATGATGATTCGAACACTATCTAAAGCATTATCAAATGGTTCATCTTCTTCTATTGAATCATCACCATCATCACCAACACCTTTACGTCCTCCTACATTTCAAGTATTAGCTACATGTTTATCAGATTCAAAAAAAACTCTTCTTGATCAAATTCCTTATCATCAACAAAAATTAATACGTTTAAGAAAACGTGCTAAAAGTCTTTTATCATCTTCATTTGAAAGACAAAATTCTTCTGATGGGGTATGAATATTAAAAAGCTAGATATAATTTAAATATCCTTCGAAAAGAAAGAATAATAATAATAATAAAAATAAAAACAATTATTAATTATTCATTTAGATTATCAGTGTTGATGAAATTTATCGACGTATTAATGCAACACAAACGAATAATACACCAGTACTTGATCCTAATATTCCACCACCAAAACTTCTTCAACCATCGACGATTATTGATGAAGAAAAATCAAAACATGTAGGAATACAAAAAGATTTTTTTTGTTTTTGTTTTTAAAAATCAAAAAAATATGAAATTTTTGTGTTAAGATTGTACATGAATTACCACCACGTGTACATGGTCTTAGTTGGCGAATAGTATTTAGTACAGATGAACATGGATTTAGTTTAAATCAACTTTATCGTCGATCAATGACAGTTGATCAAGATTCACCATCACTACTTATTGTTAAAGATATTGAACAAAATGTGAATAAAATCTATTTTGTTTTTTTTTTTTTTGTAAAAAATTTTCTTTTTATATTTGATTATTAGATATTTGGTGCATATATATCACAACAGTTAATGGTTAGTGATGGTTTTTATGGTACTGGAGAAACATTTCTTTTTACATTTCATCCACAATTTCGTGTAAGTCAATATTAGAATATTAATTAGAGATGTTATAAGCAAATAGAATAAAATAAAAAAAAAAAAAATTAAGAAAGCTTTTTTTTTTCTTTCTGTGCAATTTGTTCGATTCTATATTTAATCAAAAACAGAAAAACAAATGGAGCATTTCAGACAAATTATTTCTGAAAATATTATTGCTAGACTTATCTATTTTATCAATTGAATTATGTTATTACTGTGTACTAGACTTGATTGCTTGTAAGAAACAGAATGAACAAATTATTGTTAGACAACTTCAGGATGTTTTATAAGAAAAACAAAAAAACATCATAGTTTCTTGACAACAAAATATTTTGTATATAAACAAAATTGAACATTAAGTTTTTTTTTGTTAAAAAAGAAATTATTTACTATGAGAATATTATTCGTAAAGAAAAATATATTTAAATATTTGAAATTATTAATTTCTTCTACTAGTGCGGAAGGATGTAATATTACTTTTTAATGGTAGTGAAAATTTTCGTATTCTATTATCGAGTAAAGTAGTATATGGAACATTAATATTATCCTTTAGGCATTTCATTGGACTGGAAACAATCAATTTTTCATCAAAGGTGATGTTAAAGCACTTGGCATTGGATGTGGAGAGTATGTTTAATAATATGTTTTCTTCTTTTTCCGACTAATTATTTCATTAATATTAAATTTTCAGAGGTACATATGGTTTGTGGCTTGATGCTGATTTATATCATGGACGAACATGTCCAAGTAAAACATTTAATAATATACGATTATCAGCAAAAGAAGATTTTATTATTGCAAGTATTGAAATTTGGACATTTATTGATTAGAATTCAATTAAATTAAACATTGTAGAAACAGTAGTTTCATCATTCTTTTTCTTTTCTTTTTTTTTATTTATATTTTTATCTCTTTTGTTTGATCTTCTTCAATCGCTTCTAATGAATTAACGATAAGAAGACAATTTCTTTGTGCATATATGTATATATATATATAATTATTTATACAAAAAAAGAAAAAAAAAAGCTTTCCCGGTCATTCGATTTCCATTATAAAACAATTATGACATTACTGCAATAAACATGTGAAAAATAAAAATTAAAAACAAAAAAAAATTTTTTTGTTCAATATATATTTTAATCAATTCGAATAAAATCAACATCGTAAATGAGTAACTTTTATCAATAGACGAATATAATTAGAAATTTTAATACGATTATAATTTCAATTTATTTTCTTTGTTCATATATTATAAGCTCATATATCAACATTTTCATATGAATCAATAGATAGGCACTTATCAAACAAATAATTAAGCATTCATTGAAAAACAAAAGGAAAGAATATATTGTTCTAGATGTTCTTTGTTTGAAGTCTTTCTTTCAATATGAAAAAGAAAACCGATGTTGAAATGCTAGTAACAGATTTATCTTTGTTTCATTTCAAAAAATGAAAGATGATGATTATTAGACAAATAAACATAACAAGATAATAATTATCAATTTTCTTCTAAATAATATTTGAAAGAAAATATTTTCTATTGCAAAATAAAAAAAATATTCCTAACCACAAAATAGAAGAAGATATTAGCAAGAATTAATACACGTCAAATGATAGAATCACTATGTCAACAATAATAATATGAATAAATCATTGATGTTATAATGAATTCGATCATAAAAAAGGATTATTATTCTTGTTGAACATTCAAATATTCCGCCTTTTTCGACACTAGTTTAAGACCTACTCTCAAAAAGCAGATCTCAGCCCAGGAACGTTCAAATGGTATGAATTTTTCAGGATATGTTAGGACTGTAATGAAGAAGCTATGGTAAAATTTTCAGCACGATATCATGACGTTTGAGGGAGATATTGACTAAACAAGGGTCAAAAATCGCGGCTATAATCATATAAATGTTTGTATATATAGTAAAAGTAAAGCTTAATCAAAAAAAAAAAAGGACTCTGTACTACACTGTCTTGACATGCTCTTTCAAATAAAAGAAAATTAAATATATAGAATGAATATCGACAGAGAAATTTGGATTACGCGATAAAGAACTTATAAATGGAGAAAACAGGGGATGACAGAAGTCTTCAAAAATTTTTGAAAAAAACAAGGTGTCGAAAGTAAAAATTTTTGTCATTTATAACAGATCAGATCACGGACCATTTTTTCATGTATTTACCTTAATTTTGACCATTCTGACGAAAAGTGACTTTTTTTGAGGGGCAGCAAGACGCCTTAAGAAACTACTTTTCTACTGATTCATATTCAAACAATGACATTGCGAATTTTTTGTCTTGTAATTATAATATGATAAAAACATAAATCTATTGTATTACCTGAATGAGTCAATTTTATTTGTACATCTAATCATCTTTTTGTTCTGTTTATTTAAAATCTTATCATTGGATATTAATATGACCTATCTCGTCGTACAATGACACGCAGTGCATCTGATAGTTGATCGTAGAAAGGACAATATCAAAAGGGAAACATATTGGAAACAAGTGATATCAACATGATGGGGTACACGATTTACTTTCCGCGGAATTACTTTCCCGTTGATTGTTTTCAGTATTAATTGGATTTTTTTCACAAAAAATTATGATTGCTGACGCTGAGGATTTACTTTCCGTTGATTACATAAAAGTAATTTACCAATTAACGATTTTTTTGTATAAAGATTTACTTTCCGTTGATTAGTTTGACGAAATGAAATGAGTATATCAGTCATATGACTGATATACTCATTTCATTTCGTCAAACTAATCAACGAAAAGTAAATTCTCAGCGTCAGAAATCATAATTTTTTGTGAAAAAAATTCAATTAATACTGAAAACAATCAACGGAAAGTAATTCTACGGAAAGTAAATCGTGTAATCCCAACATGATGGATGGCAGGTGAAGAGAAGACTAGACATCATACCCTATTTTTCTTTTCGATCTTTCTAAAGCATATTGATCTGATGAATTTATCAAAAACAAAAAGAAACATTCTGTTGTCAATTATTGAAGTATGCTTTTTGATATTAGCTGTTTTGTTTGATATACAAAATCCTAGTTCATATAAATTAATCAGGGGTGACCGGAGAGAGCAAACATTGAGGGGGTTGTCCCTGACTTTTGAGATAGAAATATAATTTTTTTTTAATAGAACGCAAGAAAAATTTTCGACTCCACTGGGGAAAAACGAAAATTTTCGATTATTGGGGGGGGTTGTCACAACCCCCAGTCGGGCCACCCCTGAAATTAATGATTAAATCGTTTGTTTACATTGCATAAGAATTAATTGAAAAATAGAATACAATCAAAATATTCTCAGGTTACTTTTTTAATCTTGTAAATATATTCATATTGACGTAGTTTGTTTTTTCGTTGATATTCTAGAGCATTGTTTATGTATTTGTCTTTTTTTTTGTTTTGCTCTTAAATGATAAGATAAAGTTGTTATTACATTTTCTGCTAAACACGAACGAAAAAAAATGTTTCTGTATAGAGTGAAATATCTGTCATAGACATGTTAAGCAAACGACCTATTATAAATCATGACTATCTTATAAGATGTTGATATAAAATGTCTTGATGAGTCAAACAGAATATCGAATATATAAAATGTTGACTTGAATCAATTTGTTAAATAAATTCTTCGATTAATAACTAAGGTTATTTGACATTTCATAGGAATTATGTTAAAATATTTTTAAAGATTGTTTGAAAAATAAAGACAATAAAATAGATTATTAAATAGTGTTCGTTTTTTTTTTATTAACAATTTTTAATTCGACTAAATAAAATTAGTCGATTTCAATTTTTATCTATGTCATAAGTTAATGAGTAAAAATTAAATACTAAAAAAATTACAGTTTTGAATTAATGATAATGCATATCTTTTTTTCGTCATTGTTTGCAATTCGTCAGAATCCAATATTTACATTATATAAATCAACTTGGACTAATGTTGAATTCTTATCAAATCTTCATTTTTTTTCTTTTCAAACAACAACTATTATATTTTATCTTTTTCTTTTTGTCTTCCTCACGTTGTCTTTTCTTACATATTTGTGTTTGATTTCTTTGTTTTTAAATACAAGGTAAATTGAAGAAGAAACAAGTAGAATACGAATAATAAAATTCTAGAATAATTATTTTTGTATATATTATTTCTTTAAAATAATATAACAAATTTATTGATTTAATTTTAGTTATATTAAAATTTTTTGAATTCTTATGGAACCAATTGTATCACAACCAGATGTTGTTTCAAAAAAAGGAAAATTTGCTTATAGTGTTGGTCATGTTTTAAATGATCTTACAGCATCAATGTGGTTTTCTTATTTATTAGTTTTCTATCATCGTATTGTGAATTTTACAAATGCATCTGCAGGTTATTTACTTTTAATTGGACAAGTAGCTGATGCTTTAGCAACAACATTTGTTGGTTTTGAATCTGATCGAGCACGTAAAGGTTTATTTGGTTATGGTCGAAGAAAAACTTGGCATTTTATTGGTGTTATTTGTGTACTTGGTTCATTTCCATTTTGTTTTAATTTATGTATTAAATGTGCATATAGTGATTTATGGGCACAATTTTTTTATTATGCAATGTTTATTATTATTTTTCAATTTGGTTGGTCATGTTCACAAATTTCGCATTTGTAAGTTATTTGCTTTTTTATATTCAGAAGAAGAAGAAAGAAAAACAAAAATTGAGTTTTATTTTTATTTAGAGCAATGATTAATGATTTAACACATAAAGACGGTGAACGTGTTGCACTTAATTCATATCGTTATGCTTGGACAGTAGCATCAAATATATTTGTTTATGGAATAGCAAGTATTTTATTAGGTGTTCATTCTAGTCGTGATAAAACGGATATAACACCAGAAGATGCACCTATATTTCGTACATTAACATTTACTGTTATTGGTACTGGTCTTCTTTGTATGATTATATTTCATGTTGGTTTAAACGAATCAGAATTACCAGCTGAAGAATCAGCACATCGTTTACAATTATCTATAACTTCTAGTGGAAGATTAAGACGAATGACATGGAAAAAATTTTTACGTGAACGAGAATTTTATCAATGTGCACTTATTTGGATGTTTACACGTCTTATTCTTAATATTACACAGGTAAAAAGAAAAAGAATACACAGAATTTAAAAACAAAAAGGTCAATCTATAATAGTTTAATTTATAGGCACTTACAGATATCATAAGCTTTGTAGACTTATAGAATAGGAATCTATTTACAAGTTGTATAGATTTCAAGAAAATGAAATAGAACTATAAGCGAATTTATTGTCAATTTATTTATATAATAAAAAAAATTTCCAAGATAAACGTGAATGTACGAAGAGAAAATAAAATAGCAATATATTTATGTTTTATAGTAACTCTAAGTTTTATCATATTATATTACATATTCAACAATTCGCATATATTTTAAGCTACATCTTCACATCAGCAACGATCAGACTTGACTAACTGAAAATATCAAACAGACTTTATTGAATGTCTTTAGGACATGTATAATGAGTTGAAATTTGATCTAATGTTTTTTTTATATCATTATGAAACTGCTGCAAGTTTAAATAGGATTATAGATATACATTAAGATTAAAGTTCTTATTCATACATATTGTGACTAAATATGAATGAAACTAAATTTTTGCTAGTTTCTTCTTTTGTGATTTTAATTATAATAAACTTTTGTTGTTAGTTTTATACATCTCTATTAGTAATAAATTTCTCTATTGATAATTTCTGTTAGTCGAGCAAAAAAAAAAGATTAGTTTCACATATGATTATAAATTTTTATTTTAGGTATTTCTACCATTGTATATAATTGATACAATCTCAACACTTAATCGAGTATATGTTGCTCTTGCTCCATTATGTTCTTATGTTAGTGGTTTACTTGCATCATTTCCTATGCGTGCAATAAATAAACGTTTAGGTCGAAAAGTAACAATGACTATTGGTCTTGTATTTGTCATAGCTAGTACAATATTATTTTGGTTTATTTTTCAAATACAACCACATGTTAGAATTGAAGTAACATTAACAATTGCTTGTGTTTTACTTGGTATTGGAACATCAACAACAAATATATGTTCATTTTCTCTTACATCGGATTTAATTGGTTTAAATACTGAATGTGGAGCATTCGTTTATGGAATAATGTCATTTGCAGATAAACTTGCTAATGGTATAGTTATTGCTATTGTACAACAATATAATCCATGTAAAGCTGATGCAACAGATATTTGTGAATTATATTATAGACAAATATTATCATTTATACCTGGTGGAGTTGCTATATTAACAATTCTAATGACCTTAAGTATATGGAAAACGAATATTGGTGGAAATCGTCATGATATAATTATACAATCATCAACTAATTCTTTGCCATATGATAGTTCTGTAAATGATACTGAATATAATGAACGAACACCATTAGTTGCTTGAGAAAAGAAAAAAAACATATACTTCTATATATTTGTTTTTCCTATATGGGACTAGTCAGGTTAATCAAACATTTTGTTTTTATGTAAGAAAAATTGAATATGTTATTTTTATTTATATTGTGATATTTAATTAATATGTTTTTGGAAGTTAATTATCTCAAATAAATAAATACATTATAGTATAATTTTCAAGTAAAATAAAAAGAAATAAGAACAAAGATGATGTGTCAATATGTTCGAGACATCTTGCATAACTTCTAATGTTCTCCTTCTTGAAGATTCGCTACTTTTTTAAATTCGTGTACACGATTTACTGTCCGCGGATTTACTGTCCATTGATTGGAAAAATTTTATTCCAATTAACGCTATTTTTGTATGAGGATTTACTGTCCATTGATTGAAAAAATAGAATATTTCAATCAGTGTATTTTTTTGGTTGAGGATTTACTGTCCATTAATTGCTTCGAAGAAGAGAAATTAATAAATGAGTAATGGTCTTGACAATCAATCTCTTTTCTGAACAAAAAATGACATAAATGTTGAAAAACAAAAAAGTCACCAATGAGCGAACTATTGAATAAATTTTCAATTTAAAATCAGGGATGCTCATCAAATGCGGGGGGGGGGGGGGAGGTAAAATAGTCATTAATATGACAAAAATTTATAAAAAATATATATAAATTCAAAGAATATAATTTTCTTATCATACTCTTCCTAAAAATGTCTGCTATGTTTACTGAATCTACCCATGGTAAACGACAATTATGCTACCTCGGTTATCGGTATTCTTTGAAACGTAAGAATCAAAATGGTTCGGAATATTGGATATGTGTTAAATGTCAAACAACAGCTACAAGTAACTTAGATTTATCAGTAATTGTTCGTGAAGATCATACACATCTACCTGACGAAACTGATAAAGAAGTATTAGAAATGCGACAAAATCTAAAACGAAAAGCTATCGAAGAATCTAGTCCTATTGATCGTATAATTGAAGAAGCATGTAAATGCTCCGCATCCCAATATTTATGTTGCAATTGATTTATTGCAAAAAGAACAATCATTAGCATCTATTTCAAGATTACGAGATAATATGGGAGCTCCAACTCCAAAGCGTCGAAAAAATAAAGTTATAACAGATGAATGTTTAATTAAATTATGGCAGCGTTATGATGAAGGTCGTCTCGATATTCCATCATTCTTAAAAGCTGCTGGACTTAGATATTTTCAGCGTCCACCAAAAAGTTGAACGTCCATTCATCTTTTTTGGTTTATTTATTAATCAATTCTTTATTCTCTTTGTTATTGCCTCATATATTTGTTTGAATTCTTTTTTTTCTAAATATACATAGTTGATTGCGATAAATATTTTTCTGTTCATTTATATTCTTCGAGGCAATCAACGGACAGTAAATCCTCAAACGAGAAAAACACTAATTGAAAAAAAAAAGTTATTCAATCAATGGACAGTAAATCCTCAGCAGCAAAAATTATACTTTCTGTAGAAAAAAAACAATTTTCTAAGAAAAACAATCAATGGACAGTAAATCCTGTAAACCTTTTAAATTCACTAATACTTTTATGTATTAGACAACTCTGTTGTCAACGAAAAAAGAGATTCATTTTACTATCAATATTGAAATGATCGTTACTCAATAATTTTTCGCATAAACTTTTAAAACACACATGAGTCGTGACAATATGACACTTGACACAAATCCTGCACAACCATAAAAGATACCGGCCTCAATGAAAAAGTGTCGGTCATAGGGAGGGCATCTTGCCCGTATCTAGATATGAATATGATGAAGAAGCAAAAACTTCAAACAAAAATAGATCAAGAGACATTTACAAAAAATTCTTAGAAGATGTCTGTACGATAAAAAACTGGAAGAAATAATCATTTTACCTTTTCAACTAATATTCTCTTTTTGAGCTGATATTTTACTTATAGGTAGGATTCATAGTTTAAATGAAAACTGCGAAATGATTCGTGTCCTTAAGTCTTTCTTCTCGAGTTATTATCATTTTTACTAAATTTCCAGCATATTACGAAAAAAGCCGAAATAAGAAGTTTCCGTCTGAGATTTTCTCAAATGAAAGATTCTTATTGCGGTTTTTTCGTAACATGCTAATAATTTAGTAAAATGATCACAACTCGAGAAGAAAGACCTAAGAGTATGAATTCTTTTAGAGTTTCTATCAAAACTATGAGTCCCTAGTTATGAATAAAATATCACTTTGAAAAGAGGGTTTTAGTTGGAAACGTTCCTTTGTAAGTCACTCTTTGATCACAAAGAATCAAAATTGACAGAATTTAGTTCAATGCACTTCAAACTTCATTTTTATACTCAATAGTTTCTAACTACTTATTGTGGAACAAGAATTTATTGAATATCTTTGATACAATATTCTTCGCAATGGATGATCGGAAAGTATTTCCGATGAGAATTATATGCACTTTTTAAATATGAACTTAAAAATTTTGTCTCGATTTTTGTTCGAGAGTAATGAAATAACCTTTCAAAAGTCGAAAAATTTAGTTTCGACGGAAAATTTTTGTATTTTTACTATTGTGATTCGGAACTAAAAGTTGGAATTGTTATTCATATATTAACTTGTAGATTAGAAGTTACCCTACAAAATGAATTATTTGAAAGCTTTTCTATGTTTCAATACTCATTTTTGAAAAATCGATAACCATTTTACGTTGAAATGAGCTGTTGAAAAAATATTTTGGCAAAAGCTATAGCTTAGTTCAGTACCAAATTTTTATAGAGAAATATTAGTTCTACGGAACAATCGACTCCGACAATTTTTCGTATGTTCGAAACGAAACTTATAGGATAAACAAAAATCTGTTGGCTCACCATTAAAAAATAATTCTTTTCGGTTTTTTAATAAATCTCTCACTACTCTTGAACATATTTAAAAGAGCACAAAATTTTCGTCAGAAATACTTTCTAGCAGGTCAAAAAATGAACAAACATCTTGCCTAAAAAGTTTCCGATCACTCGTTATATCAAAGGAAACTTTATTAATTAATTAATGATAAAAATATAGAATTTGTTCATAATTTTAATGAGTACTGGATTGTTTTCTCGGTAAAGCTAATTCATTGATTCTTTCTGTTGCTTGATATCTAAGTGCCGAACGTGATACAGGTCTCGGAAGAGGTAATTCAAATTGATAGGATTCACGTCGTTCTAATGGTAAAGCTAAATTACTAAGATGTGATGAACATTCAGCATTTGTTGCAGCTTTACTAACACCTGAATATGCTGGATTACTTATATAACGAGAATAACCTATAATTATGATTTTTTTTCTTTTAACAAAAAAAATTTAATTCATCATTTCTCATTTTACCTTCTCGTATTGTTGTATCTTTACGTATTTTTGGTTTTGATAATGATTGAATTCGATCTGTTGCTTGATAAATCAGTGCTGATGGTGTTACAAATGAATATGGTGATCGTTCATATTCATAATATTTACGTTCATATGATTTAGATGAATGAGATGACGATGCAGATAATGCCATTTTATTCACAGCGTGATGACAAATAATAAAGTGTAGGTATGACTGAAAGAAAACAAAATAAAAACGAACACAACACTTCTATGTTATTTAACGTATGTTTAATGTCAAGAGGAACAAGAACAACAGCAACAGAAGTCTTGCAAGCATTTAAATTACACATTTTTTTTTTTGAAACAAAAAATTTACTTTTGAATTTTCAATATTTTTCTTTTCGTGTTCTATCTATGCTTGTGATGATGATGATGATGATGATTGTTTTTTATATTTATCTATAATTAATGGAATAACTATTTCATGTTTAAAAATATTTTGTACTATGTTAATAGCAAATAATAACATAGATTACAGGATATTTGATAATATAAACAATATATATTGAAATACTAATTGCTAGAGAGCAGATAAATATTAGTTGAATTATTGAGTATGATTTTGTCTGAATAGAATTTTGTTGACATGAAATAATGATCGAATTTTTTTTATCCTTTTAATTGAAATAATTACCAAAATGACTGAGTTCTACAAAAATAAGAAAAAAAAAGAACATTCTTAATAATAATCCTTCAGGTCATATTAAGAACTTTGTATGGATTATTTTCAATAGTCTAAAAACATAACTTAATAGACATTAAATCTTTAAAAGTATTTTTTCACTCGTTTGGTAATAGAGATAAAGAATGTAAAATAAGTTTTAACTCTCACATGTTTTTGTATTGACCGAGACTGATATTCACAGTACACACACTAGAAGTCTAGATCTATTCTATGGTAGAATTTCAGTCCATAGAGATATAAGTGATACTAAAATCATAAAAATTTTTGAAACTATCATGAATGAGCAAAATTGTAGTCATTTGATCATCTACTACCTACAGGTAATATTTGCTTTTTGTGCATAAAATTCTTTCGTTCTGTAATTTGTCCACGCCATTAGGAATGGAAAAATATTACACGACTTTTTTTGTTTCTGATAATCGTAACAGACAGAATCAACAAAAACACACGAAGAAATTACATCAAAAGTCAAGGACAAATGTATTGATCTCGAAATAAATTATGCAAAATTTGCTGATATTTGACCAGTTGAGAATGTATATGATGCAATTAAGGAAAGAGTGAGAAGTAAACAAATTTTGGAAAAAATACCAGGTAATGGAAGAGAGTAAAGAGATAGGTACACTTCTTATTTTCGAGAAAAATACTCTTGTTTGTCAATAGATTTGGTCAGAAAGTCTTATATTTTTGGTTTCATCTTGCAACAAGGAAAATTTTCATGAGGTGCACCTGCCTTTTGTTTCTTTACTTAGTTTTAGATAACTTACAATAATTAATTCAAAAACACTCACAATAAGAAATCGTAATAAACAAGGGGCGGTGGCACAATCTTGAAAATTTTTGTTTCTCTGCTCATCAATTCCCAATAAAAACGCCTAATCTCTCCCTTCAAATCCAGTTAACTGTAGCAAACATTTTCTGAGTCATCGATTGGACGTAGAAAGGTCGAAAGGAAAAATATTAAAAGTGATGAGATATGGAGCAGATCTCGAAATCGGGCTACTTTTTGATAGTCCGGCTCGATTCAACTTAGAATGGTACTATTAAAAGTATATTTCCTTTACGAAAAGAATTTCTACACAATCACCGGAATCATTTATGAGAACATTGTAAAAAGTTTATTATTATAGTGATCACGAGTTGAATAAGGTCGGACAATTTTAATGCTTGAAAAAAAAGCAGCATGACAGGTAAGATGCATATGTGGATACTTCAACTTCTAGAAGACTATCATTTATTAACATAAGTTTTCACGTGTCAAATGTCTGTTGATCAATTTCAAAATGTCAGATTGGTCTCTATTTTTAGTTACATTGTTCCACTTCATGCAATTGATTGATAGTGTGCTCGGCTTTGTGTGTAGACGAAGAATGTCATTGAACTGAATAAATGTTCTACTTGTATTTATTGATTAGATGAAATTCCCAAAACGTTCACATAATAAAGATTCTTGATTGTTTAGAGAACTGCGAGTCCTTCCAGATTCAAATTCGGTCGGGTACGGGTCCACAAAAAACGTGGATCCGCAGCTCTCTATGATTGTTGCAAAGTGAAAAATCCACGTAAGAAATTTTGATGAAAAATAAGAATAAAATCAATTACTTTTTGATTAAGAAAGATTAAAATCAAATGAAATCTATCTTTAAAGTTGAAAAATCAAGTTTTTATGTGATATTCAAATTATTTCTTGATGGTATGGATGTAGTTCTTCTTCTCCTCATCCAAAGCTCACATATAACCCTCAGATTTAGATGCAAGAGCACCACAATTACTATTCAACGTCGTATAGATAATCTTGGTGAACGATATTATATGGGCAAAATCATTTGTTAGCGACGTGACTTCGGAAAATTAAAATATGTGTATCTCGAGATAATGAGCTCTCTTAGATCTGATTTTTTATATGTTGTATGGACATTAAGTTACTCTAGATACCCTAAAAAAATTAGCGCTATGGAGCTTTATTTACAGGAGTTACTGGTAAAAAACTACCGTTAGCGACGTGACACAAAAAAGGACATCGATTTCCACTTCGTGTATTTTAGTTTTTAATAACTCCCAATTCATGCACAATTTTAGAAAACTAAATAGGGCATTTCGTAGACGACTTCTAAGCTATAAAGTCTATATCCAAAATTTTTCTGAGTATGTCTAGATTTTTTAAAAACACCGATTTATTTGTCGTTAGCGACGTGACACAGTACGACTACACAATTGAGATGATACTCTTGTAACCAACTGAAAAGTTCAAAATTGACTTCAAACGTTACAAATCATTACTCAGAATCCCTAGATGATGATAAGAGAAAAGTTTTCGCTTCTTCACTTTTCAGGGTCTCTAGAAAACCGGTTTTTCGGAAGAAATTTTTCGGAGTCCAATCTTGCTGAAAATTTTACCATAGATGCAGCTTGTGCCCTAGACCCTATCCTGAAGTTTTCAGATTTTTTTCTCATATGGTTAGCGAGATATTCGCTAATTAATTTTTAATTAATTAATTAATTAATTAATTTTAATTAATAACCATGTGAAAGACCAAACATTTTCACATAAGCCTATGCCAAAAGAATTTATTCAAAAAATTCACTCTTATAGAGAATCAACCTCAAATGAAAGGTGCAAATGTCCTATTCTGCCTGATTTTGCCGATATAATGAAATATATAGATAGTTTATCATTTACAGTTGCTAAATGGAAAAAAATACCACTATTATTTCTTTCATCATTTTTTTATCTCTTGACTTGCCTGTGATCTATGTTACAATGTTAGTATTATGTATCCTCTCTCCGTTCTGCTGCCTTCGGGCTACTTCTGTTAATAAAAAAAAACAAACCATAATTTAATTGAATTGATTATTAATATATCAACATTCATTCTTCTTATATATCCTAATAGTATTTCTTTCATAATATTTAATTTATCTTGATGATCAAAAAAAACAAGTATCGATACGATTATTTAGAGAATATGTTTATTCGAAAAAAAAGCAAAACAAAAATATTTTAATCCATCAAAAAAAAAAGAATTTATTTTTTTCAGTTTGGGAATAGAATAACTACTGTTAATGATACTATATTAGTATCATTCGAATTATATATTATATTATAAACATTTATAAAAAAAAAAGAAAATGAAAAGAAAATTTACACATACATACTAAACGATGTTTAATGTTTAAATACAAACGACTAGGTCAAAATGAAGAAAAAAAAAAGAGAGATTAATGCTAGTTCTTATTTGGAATGCTTTAAAACTGTTCAAATATACATTGAAAAAAAAAGAAAAGAAAAGAAAAATAAAAATAAAAAATAAATTAATCTGTTATTATAGATCGTTCTTGAATTTCTGATCGACATATAGGACATAGATCTAATTTTAATGCACATTGTTCACAAAAACCAGTATGTTGACATGGTTTAAACATTATATTAGCTTTATCATCAACACATAATATACAATCTTGTTCACTTATTTTAATTGAACGTAATAATTCTAATTTTTTATATTTTGGTAAAATAAGTTTTTCATCATCAGATAAATAACCATATTCATTAAATGTCTTATATGATTCAACTGTTGTTGGAGGATAACGAAATGGTATTGAACCAAAATTGAAACGACAATGTTGATATGACATAAAACTTGCAGCTGCAAAGTAACCATCAGTTATAGGAGCAGATGTTGACGAAAATAATTTACGTAATGGATCAAGTGAACGACCATTTAATGAAAATATAACTTCACGTCGATCAAAATCAATTAAACAACCTATAAAAAAGAAATATTTTATTAGGTCAAATATAACAAAAAGTATTTTTATTGACTTAAAATTAAAAATAAGTATAAAACAGTTCCGATTAAGAGATACACTGATGAACATCCCTATTGCATGTGTGAAGTTCATTTTTAAACTAATGTGTCGAACTTCAATAATTATATTCAATTTCTATATAACTTAAACATAGAATAGATACTTATTGATGCGTTTTTTTTTTATATAAAAGAGATCGGATGATTGTTTTTTTGGTTAATCATACTATTTGAGTTTTGCATACAGTTTAATTCCTAACAAACGAAAATTCTTGAAATAGGAATATTTCATAATGAAAGAGTATACATAAGAAAAATAATGCGGAGTAAAACAAAAAAAATTATAATCAGATTTGTAGAACATTAAAAATTTCTTGTTTACACATATGAAACAGTATTATTTCATTGTAACTTAAAAAGAATGAAACATATCATTAGAATACATTCGGATTTATGATTTTTCCAAAATACGTAGAAGATGGACAATTATGTTATTAGAAAGCATTTTAATCTTATCGTAAAAACAAACTCACTCAGTAATTATAAAAAAATTAGTGTCAATTATTGCATATAAAGAAAAACATGGAATAATCAGGTACTAAACAAAATGTCACGTTGTTTCCAGTGTCTTTTTTGGGAGACCAGAATTTCGGCCCAAGGAATTTTCGTCCCGGACTTTCGGCCCGATACAAAATAAATATTAGACTGAGGGTGATTCGATTTCAATATGAAAAATTTTTTTTTCCGGGCCGAAAGTCCGGGACGGAAATTCCTTGGGCCGAAATTCATGTAACTCTCTTTTTTTTTTGAAAATTCATCAATAAAAACGAAACTCTTACCAACAATATCACCAGGTTTCCAAGCTGGATTATTATGTGGTATAGATTTAGCTCCAAACCATATTAAATTTCTACAACCATCGTATGCTATAGAATACTGATCATCACCAATACCATAACCTTCATGATTCAAAAATTTTGATTGTTTTGTTGCCCATCCAATTTGCATAACACCATCGGTTACAATAAGTACTTCATAATACCAAACACCTGTATTAACATGAAATGTACATCGAACACTTTCAAATGAAACTGTATCACTACGTGCTTCAAGACCATCGGGACCGATTTTTAAATATTCACTAACATCTTTATCATTAAGCATAACATTTATATAATTATGATCAATTACTTCATATGATGGTCGACGATAATCAAGAATAAATACATTATCAAGTAACCATTGAGCATAAAAACCTTAAGAAGAATAAAATATTTTTTTTTTCTTTTTGTTATTGTTACTTAAAATCTTATCTTCTTACCAATTTGTCTTTTAAGACAATTATTTGATATAGCCCATGGTTCATAATATTCTAAAACATTCATTTTTGATTGTTCATTTTGAATTGTTAATGATTGTAATAGAATATGTTTTGATTCTAATGAATGAGAAAATTTTTCAATTGCAATTAATGCAAATAATATTATTTTTAATACAGATGAATAATTTGATAAATAATTTATATCATCAAAATCTAATGATATTAATTGACTATAATTATATATACCTAAATAAACTCGATCAATAATAAATTCAAGTGCTATTGTATTTAACATTGATGCACTTGTTGGACCAACTAGAAAAAATAATTGAATTTAATACAAACAAACAAACAAAACAAAAAAACTAACCGAGTTTTTCAGCTAGACAACCAAGTACAACTAATGTATTACGTTCACGATGTAAAACATTATCAAGTTTTCGTTGATTTTGTATATTAGACGTATTATTTGTTTTTATTGTAGATGTTGAACGTTTTGATGAACAAAGATTTGAAATTGATGATGATATCTTGTTAGGTCTAAAAGAAAAAATAATAATAATAATAATAATAATTTGTTCAATTAATTATTGAATAAAAACAAAAAAAAGAAAAACCAATTCATATCATTAGATTAATTTCCATTCAAAAATTTTGATTTCAATCTTGTAAAAAAGAATCGAAATAAAAAAAGAAATCTAACCTTGGATATTTCTAGTGTCTAAAAAGAATCGAAAAAGAAAAAAAATATGATCAAATTTAGAAAAAATTAACGCGGAAAGATCTCCAATGGATAAATTTGCTTTTGAGTCAAGACTTCGAATTCTTAGCTTAATTACTGCAAAGATCCTACATTTTAATAATATTTTTTTAAATCAATGCAGAAATATCAGAAAAAAATGACTTTCGAATTTCAATTTGAAACTTGACATAGAGACACAGACTTTAATAAGAATAATTTATTATGAAAATTTCAAGTCTTCTGATTTATATGAGTGATCTAAAAGATACTCTATCATCATAGCTATATCTTCGGATAAGAACAGTAACAAGATCTGAAACATTCTCGTTAAGATCTGTCATATTTTACCCATAGGCAAGATTCATAATGTAGATAAAAACCTTAAAAGGATTCGTGCCATTAGGCCTTTCTTCTCGAGTTATGATCCTTTTAGCCTATCACAGGATATTATGAAAAAAACCACAACAAGAAATTTTCCTAATAATAGACCTTAATATATCCTGAAAGTTTCAGTTCAAACTGACCAGGTTTTTCTTAAGATATGAAATATCTCCAAAATGTACAATTTTCGAAGCTTTTATGAGAAAGTAGTGGTTTTTGTAGATGTATTATCTTGAAAGAGAACTATTCATTTGAGTTTAAACTTTCAGGATATATTAAGACCTATTATTAGGAAAATTTTTTGTTGAGATTTTTTCATAATATCCTATGGTAGGCTGAAATGACCGTAACTCGAGAAGAAAGATCTAATAGCACAAAACCTTGTAAGGTTTTTATCTATATTATGAACCCTGCGTATGGGCAAAATATGAGTTCAAATAGCGTTTATCAATTCGTTCATGTACATAGGAGTGTGTCTGATACTTTTAGAAAAAATCCCAGATATGAACCCGATCGGATTCGAATCTACAAAATTCTTTCTTCATTTCAAAATAAATAAATTTACTTTTCATGTTCATGTTCATCAACAATATCATATGTTTGTTTTATTATAATTGGTATTGATTCATTAATATCATTTTTATTGTCATCTTTATTAATATGTGTTTCAATAATTGATTTTTGTAATTGTTGTTGATTATTTTCTTTAATATATTCATCAATAATTGATTCAAGTAATATTATTCTTGAACGATTATCTGAACATATACGTTTTATTAATTGTTGTAATAATTCTTTTGATGGTAATGAACATTCATCAAGTAATAATGCAATAACAGTTGCACCTAATGGATCATGTATTGGTATACGTTCAATTAATGCAATCATAACATCTAACCATCGATCTTCACGATTAGCTATACGTGATACAACAATCATAGCATGTGGTGGTTCTTGATCTGTATCAACAACAGTTCGAATAATTGAAAGTGTTTCATCAATAAGTGCATTTAAATTATATGGTTGAAATGTACGTATTGTTCGAAAACGATTTGATAATAAATTTCGACGAAATGTACGTGAAATATTATCAAATGATGATGATGATGTTAAATTTGTTGTTTGTTGAGGTTGTTGTTGTTGTTGTTGAACACAATTACCCATTGAATATTATCTAGAAATAAAACATATAGTCATTCAAAAAAAACAAAAGCACATATACAAATTAAAAAAGAAACAAACGACTTGTTCACCGGATAGAACAAACAAAAAAAAACAAAGGACGGCGATATAATTATTTTGCTCCAAAAAAAAAACAAATTACTACTGTTCATTTTTTTTTTCTTTTTTTGAGATACAATTTTACTTTTTGATATAGAATTGTAAATAAGCAAAATCTAGCACCGAAAAAAAAAATAACAAAAACAATAAATAGATGTTTGATTTTTTAATCTGAATAAGCTCCTTGATCATTTGAAAATTGTTGCTGTTGTTGTTGATGATGTATTAAAGATGTAATTGAATAAATATCAACAGAATCTGAACGAGTTATTGATTCTCTTTGTCTTGATCGAATATGATTACATCTTGTTTCATTTGAATGAATTAATTGATCTGCACTATGTGTATTTGTTGTATTTATTTGAAGAAAACAAGATGACATAAGTGATCGTTCAGATATTTGTGATGTATCATTAAGTGATGAAGATTTTGATGGTGAAGAAAAAAATTCTGATGGAGATTTTGTTGGTGATGAATTATTACTACCACTAAATAAACGACGACCTATGGGTGGACTACGAAGTATTATCTGAAATGGTCCGGATTGACGACGTGATGAAGATACTAAGGTAGTTGGTGGTGATAATGTTGTAGTTAAGGATGAATCTACTAAAAGAAAGTATCTTTTTTTTTTTGTTTTTGTTCTAATTAGAAACAATGAGTATTGAGTGTTTTGTTATAGAGAAAGATAAATTATTAAATCTTTGTATTGATGAATAACAAGCACGAAGAAAGTTCAACGCGTACAAAAAAAAAAAAAAAAAAACTAAAGGTAACGCGTATGAGTGTGGATAGGACTGAAGAAAAGAATAGGCATGCACCCAAAATACGTATGTTATTTTTGTCTAAATGAAGCAAATGTCGCCCTATTTATTAAATCTCATGACATAACATTTTTCCATCGAGTAGAAAATCGAAATAGGCGAATGATACTAGAAAATATCGAATGAGGAATTTCGGCAATGTTGATAGAATCAATTAAAAATAAGATTGATGAAAAAAGACTATTTGTAATAGAAAATTCCAGAGCGGGACCCTTACTTTAAACTACGGTGAAAAAAAAAATTATTTTAAAAACCAATAAATGGTACAACACTCAATGCAGTTTTTCATACTGATCCCAAATATGTCCTTTCCAATATTTACTGAAAACGCTTACAAGGAAATTATACACCCATCGCTTGAGCTTACATTGAATCCACAAACAAGTTTCAATAAGAAAGTTAAAAGCGTAAAAAGGTTCATTGGCCTTCGACGCGCCTAGTTCTAACCTGTTTATTAGAATTGTGATTCAAATATAGATAGTTTGAATGTCTCTTAGAATATTCTTTGGTCGAGTTATTGAAATTTTCAGAATATTTTTACTATTCAAATCTCGAAAAAAGTTCATTTTCATTTTGTCATCTAATATCCGCAGTGTGTTCTCCGTTTGATTGTCCAAGGCTGACATATTTCTATATTTATAGCGCGATAATTTATTGATATAAGATAAGTTTGAAATTCTCTTATTGAGTTTGGGTATATGCTTAGCGAAGACTAACATCCGTCAGAATGGTAACCATCCGGTCTTCAATGGTTAGAAAATATTTTATAGATATGCCATTTTGCTCTGATAAAATTCATTGTTTTATGTCTTTAATCGAAATATATTTCATTTTTGTAAAAATCACAATCAAAACTATGTTACTTGCTATCATATATACTTTAGTAAAGATCAAATTTAGATTTGAATTATCGTTCGTAGAGAAATGTTAGATTTATCTAAAAAGATTGAGTAAGAAAATTCAAGATTTGAAGTTTAGCAACCAATTGATAGGTAAATGACTTTCAAGGGATTTTGTAAAAAATCTGAATGCAAAATAATCTCATAAACCAGCTTAAAATTCTCGATTGATTACAACTCTGACATTTACACTCATTGATCTTTCAAAAGACATCAGCTTCACTTTCATTTTTTTTTTGTTGTTGTTGTGCGTGCTGAACTTTCCTCATACTTATCATTCCGATTCCCAAATCTTTGCAAATCATCAAGATTTATTATTTTTAAAAATATTATCAATTATTCAATCACAAATTATCAATGGATTTAAAGTAATTGCATGTTCTAGAATTATTTTACTCTTGGGGGTCTTAATATTTTCCGAAATGTTACATTAATCTTCACTTCAAGTATATACATAATTACCATTGAATATCTCACGAAATCATTATGATATAGAACGGAAAATTTTATCATAGGAGGGAAGTAGGGGTGTCAGCGTTCCCCGTTTCTCAGCATTCCGTTCCTAGGAACGGGAACGCTTGTCAAAATCGCATTTCCACGCTATATTTCAACACGGAGAGGTCTCTAGACATATTCACTTTTCTTTTTATGTTTGAGTGTTCAGCATTCCCCGTTCCCCGTTCCTAGGAACGGGGCACGTTGACATCCCTAATTTTTATGAAATTGGCTTTTCTTCGGTGAATTAGTAAAATTTCTGTTAAAAATTGAAAGAAACGTATGTTGCGTTCCAGTTTCTAGGAACGGAACGCTGAGGAACGGGGTAGCGTTCCCCGTTCCTAGGAACGGAATGCAAAGTTGACACCCCGAGAGGGAAGGTACATCTTAAATGAAAATATCAATTCAAACAATCCGTATGATTCTATGAAAAGTCTTTTTTTTCTTCTATGTTACAAATCCATACTTACATGTTTGATCTTCATTATTATTTAATATCGAACATAATAAAATATTTTCATGTATTTTCATCATACATGCAAACATTTTATGTACAAATAAATATTGTTTCTAGAAACAAAAAGAATTTACATACAATAAATAAATAATAAAAAAAAAAAAAAATCTTTACAAGTGTTTGAATTAATGCTATACGAAATTGACGAATATGTGATGCTATTTTAAATACAGGATAAGGTTGATAATCTCTACTAAAAAATAAATGCTAAAAACAAAAAATATATTCATTCAACAAATTCGGTTTTTATTTTTGTTGTTGTTGTCTTTTCTAACCTCATCATTTAAAAGTAAACGACAAAGATCAATTGCAATTAAACTTCCAGTTCGACCACAACCAGCACTTTAATAAGAAAAAAGTAAAATATTTATTATAAATATTTTTGAATTATTATAAAACCTGCAATGTACAAGTATAGGTGAATCTATTGAAGAATTTCGATCTTGATAAACTCGTGAAAGTAATTCAAGTATTGATGATTCATCATTAGGTATATCATGATCAAACCAATGTAAAACATGATAAAGTAATATATGTCGTTGAATTTCTTCTCGAGTAATTATTAATGAATATATTTCATAATCATTACAACGATAAGTTTTATCATTTGATACATCCTATGAAAAGTTTTTATTGAAGAAAACAAAAAAAGAAGAAGAACAAGATTTTACTTTAGTAATATGATAAGAACCAAATTGAAGTGATTCTCCATCATCAGGCCAATAACGACGAAATTTCATCTAAGAAAAATATAAAAATCGATGAATAAATTCCTATAGAAAAATTTCTTACTCGTCCAGCTTCAATATCATTAGCTGTACAAATAATTGATGTTATTTGAAAATTCCAAATCATATGAAAAAAATCTATTAATGATGTATCAATTGGTCCTTGTGCTGCAATATATCGACGATGACCATATAGATCCTTAATTGAAATAAATAATTTAATTCTTATAAAAGAAAAAAAGAAATTACTTCAATAAAAGATGCATTAATATAATCAGAATCATTATCTAATGGAAGAATAACTCGATATTTATCATCTAAAATAAATTATTAATTTTAGAAAATAAATTCTTTTTAATTCTAACTTACATGGTAAAATATCTTTATAACGATTTTTTAAACGATTAATTGATTTTATACCTTCATTACAAGATAATATATCTTTATTTTTCATCATAGTTCGTTGTAATTTCTTTAAAAAATAAATATAGAAATATAAATGATTTTCAAATATTCTTATTTCTTACATTAAATTGTCGACCAATTTCAGTTGAATCAGGATCACGTGATTGTTCAAATTCGACAACTAATCCTGCCGTTCGATTACAAATATTATCTCCATCAGTATTTTCCGTCATCTATTTACAATAGAAAATAAAATTATTGATTTTGAATATTATTTAAAACAAAAATTTAAAATCACATATTTGCTTAATACTCATAGATAAAGCAAAATGATTAAATATTTATTTTATTTTAACATACTACACGTAGGATGATAGTCAATCTAACCTTATTTCAATGACTTTTAGTACTAAAAAAATTATTTTTTTTGTATTTTGTACCCGATGTTATTTAAACTGGAAAAAAAAAGCCGCTGAAATATCGAAAATCAACTCAATCATCTACCATATATGGTTGATTAATTTAAAATAAATCAAGAATATTTATCTAAATGTGGTTATAAGATATAGAAAAAAAAAGTTCTAAGAACTTTTCTAATCAATATATTTTTGCAGTCATTTTCAAGAGCATTTCAAAGTGTATTTATTGTGTAAAAAAAATCCTAGCTTAAGAAGTAAGAGGGTCAATAAAAGAAGTTTGTAACATGTGTTTTTGGTTCTCCAAAGATAACGAATGGGACAGATTAAAAGGTCGCATTTTTTACATTACAATTTTTTATCACTTAATACATTGTACTAAAAAAAAACAAAATATATCACACGATGCACCATGAAAAGCTCTACAATCTACAAAGTAAAACTCATTTTAATTGTTCATTTTTTATTTTCAAAACAAAATTCTGTGCGCTCAATTTGCGACGCTGTAAAAAGATCATTTTTTCTCACACGCATGATTCATTTTATAAAAAAAAACCAAAGTATATACTACAAAATGCAGCGTGAAAAAGCTTTACAAATTACAAAGAATAATTTATTTATTAAAATTATTCAGGTAGTTAGAAAAATTGTCGCGAACTTTTTTTTTTTCCATATATTAATTGATCAATGTTAAATATATGACTAACTAATTTAACACATAAAAATCAATCTAGTAGAAAAATCATGCTGACAATTGTCACTTTTTATGTTCGAGCATGAAATTTGATACACTACATGTTAATATTGTAAATTGTTCGCAACTCAAATTTCAAACGAGGTCTTTTTATTCCTTTCGTTTACGCATGACACGATAGTCCTTGAGTTGCTGATGAAGAAAAAAAAAAACGAAGTGTTAAACTTTTCTGGAAAAGATTTTCTATGTCAAACAAGAAAAATTGTTTATTCTTTTTAGCAAAAATTCATTATTTTTAAAATAATACGAAATTTTTTAGTTCTATTCTCTAACTTCACTTCTTCAAACTACGTCGGTTTTTTTTCCTCAAACTTAAACCTAAAATACTATTAAAAGCGAAGTCTCGAATTCGTTCTGTTCGTTTGTTTATAAACCCTTACACGTTTTTCTATCTAAGCAAGAACATTAAAACATTTGACCTTTTCCGATTCATTAATCACAAACCTGTATACATGCATTGCCCTATTTTTTTTTTCTACATTGAGTAATTGCTGAGAAAATTCATTTTTAGATTTCTATTAAGATTTCACGAAGCTATTGAAATTTTTTTTTCTAGAGATCTCAAGTTTCTGAACAACTCAATTAGACTAACTACCATAAAAAAAATTCACAAGCTTCAAGATAGAGACCCTTTTCTATGGATAGTGTCCTTTAGACGGCTTCATATCTCGAAGAGAGTTTGTGAATTTTTTTATAAGAACTATTCCATTTGGATTATGTAGTATCTAAAGGCAATAAAAAACTAATTGAAATCGAACAGAGGCAGCTGAAGAGATTTCCTCGTAAATCAATTGATGTACGATTTTATTGTTTATCGGATATAGTACTTAAAATTTTTACACTAAAACAAAAAAAAACGAATGTTGGGAAACATATATCAATCAATTGTTGTTTTTTTACATTGATTTTGAATATGTTAATATAATAAAATCGAAGACTATAAAACAGAATTCTGACTATTTAATGTAGAATTTTCTCACGTAGGATTTTACTTAAAATATGAGGCAAAGATATCTTACTATATAGAAATACGACATTATTATTTATAGTAAATCATGTGCTGATATTGTTATCAAAAGTTATTAGTAATCGATTTATAAAATTACGACAAATGATTCAATAGAAAAGAATGGATATATAAAAATAGAATATAACAGAATGAGAAAAACTTAGATATCTCTATTTTCATAAAAAACAAATAAACAAAAATTTTCATCGGATAATTAAATAGAACCAATCAAAATTGTTTTTATATAAATATTTATCAAAATCTTAATATATGATTGAAATTAATAAATATTTTTCATAGGAAATAGAAATTTTTCTTAATAATTTTTTCAATGATTGTATTCAATGACATAATCATTAATGACATCTATCATTACTTAGATCCTGCCGATCTATAAAAAGCATAGATTATTATCCATGTAAAACTTAGATAAAAATTAACAACAACGACTACATTATGTGATTAAGTATCTCAGAGAAACAAGCAATTAATTATAATGAAGATTTTTGTATCTTTCGAAAATGTCAAAGGTAATTTTTAGTAATGAATACGCAGCTACGTTATTTAATTTTATATAATAAATTAGTTTAAAGATATATGAATTAAAAAACAAATGATCCTGACAAGTTTATATATTAACATGATAATTACAAATGAAATTGTCATGTTTTATGGAAAAAATTCATTTGACTTAACAAAATAAGAATCTACGTGACTAATTGAATTTGTTAAAAGAAGCTTTATGACTAAAGCTGTTTTTTTTTTATCATGATAAAAATTTAAACAAGACTAAATGATTCAATATAATAAAAAGAAATGCTCATCTTTACAAATATACAAAAACAAAAAATATGACTCAATGAGTTTTTAAATGACAATAATTTCTTTTCTAAATGATAAGATGATTAATTCATCGAATGGAAGTAATTGTTCATAGATGAATACACTTTATGCTATATTAACTTTAATGCTTGTTGACATTAAATATATCCAATTGGCAATCAACTTTTTGGTAAATAGAAATAAAAATCAAGTTTAACGGAGAGTGAAAAACTTTCGCGACAAAACACGTCTTCATTTTTTCCAGCTCGTGGAAGTAGCGTTTGAAATAGATTTTTAAGGGATTGTTAATGGCTGCTCAAAGCATGTGTAATATTGGAATGTAACAATTGAATCTAATTTTTTGTAGTTGGTATTTCAACTTTAACACCAGAAAGGAGTCTCGTATGTTTGAATCTGTGAAATATACTCGATCAGTATATATCTTCATATGATTTAGGACGGCAAATTCATTGTGAGTTCAGAATGTTGATGGTCTCACGTTTTCATTGTGGCAATCGGAATATCGAATACCATTCTTTTATTTTATTTTTTCTGAAGGAGTTTGAAAGTTTACATTAGACAACTATTGACAAGTTAATTTTTTTCTACTAGATCCCAATGAAGGATGAGCTTCGTTAGGCTACATTTTATAAAAAAATCAGGTTTTCTTGGAAACCTTTAAAAGATTTTTGGAGTTAAAAAATGGGTTTTCGAACCTCGGAAATCCACTATGCAATTGCAACAGTCTTTTAAATATTTTCGAGATCGGTCCGAAAATATATTTCGGTTTCTGAACACTGGGAAGCCTATTTAAAGTCGATTTCCAAGAAAACCATTTTTATAACAATCGAACCTTCGACTACACTTCTTATTCTCTATTCTAATGATGTATAACTATGATCGATCACTAGTGATAATGTCAAATACAAAATTGAAATTAGTCCATCCAAATTTCCTCAGAAAATGACGAAGCAATTGGATGTAGAACTACGTTCAGTCGTCAGTAAACTAATAATGCATTTATCGAACATACAACTTAGTTGAATTTTAAACAAATGAAAAAAATTGAAATAATTACTGGCGAAATTATGTTTAGACCGTATCAGTTGTATCTATGTAAACAGCAGCAGCTGAAGAACAACTTGAATTTTCTCGATTGAAATTCATTGAGACCTATTGCGAACTACCCGTCTTGATCTCACCATGTCTGTACTAATAGGACATGACTTTCATGTAAGTTAAACCAATTTTCTGTTCACATAAAATCATAGTTCGAAATGGTTTTCGTGAATCATTTAAAACATGATGTATGTAATACATAAAGCAGATAGATATTTTATTCAGAACATCATTTTTTGATTGTAGTTACATTTACTATTTGAATGGATTTCGACTATCAATTCTTTTTTAGATAACAAATATTTGTCAGAAATAATCGAGTTGATTTTGTAAGTCTGAAAAATCAAGGAGTTTCAAAGACATCAATACTAAAAGTTTTATTATTAATAGAAGCATCACAGAAAACTAATAATTAGATGAAACTTTCGCACCATCCGTTCTTTCTCATAACCTTTTCATTTAAATAAAATTCTTGAATGTTTTTTTTTTCAAAAAATACTAATTATACTTTAAAAAAAATATTCAAATCGCAACAAAAAAAATAAAATAAACGAGCGATCATCAATCATATTGTTTTTTTGAATGATGAAATTTTTGTTGTCAATTAGACAAAAATTATTATATAATCACAAAGCAAAATAACAAAAAAAAAAAAAGAAAATGATATTATTTTTTTATCTAAAGAAATTATCTACTCAAAAATAAAAATATATGGATATAGTACAAACTATTTTTAAAAAAAAATGCAAGATATCTTTATTTTTAAAATGTTATCGTGGTACGACTATATTAGCAATTGGCATATTCGAACGATTATTTGTTGTTGTACCATGAGCTAAAAATAAAACATAACAAAAAAAAATATTGTTTAGTAAAAAATAAATAACTTACAAATCGATCGTTTTTTATTTGTATTCTTTGAAGTACGATTATACGGTGTTGAATAGAATGGATCTAGATTATCAAAATTAAGAATTTCAACACAACAAATAGATTTTTTTACCATTCGTTGTTATTTGATTTTTAATGAGTTCAGGTGAATCAGAATTCGTACGACGAAAATCATCTGCTCGATATATAGACTAGAAAAATAAATTAAAGAGAAATAGTCAA